GGAAGCCTCTTATTTTTAATTCGTATTTGCCCTTCCAAGTGCTAATGAAGAGTTAGACCATTGTGTGTAGTGGACCTGAAGACTCGTGATGAATCTGAATCAGGTTGTGCTTCTGAGATACGGAGTCAGGACACACTGATAGATTGAACATTTGCTGTGGGAAAGAGAGGATCAAGGACGATTACTAGGCTTTTGGTTTGAGTGTGTGGGGAGGTGGTGGTGCTATAGGGGAGGAAGAATAACTTTCTCATTACCCCTTTGTGTTCTTGGCTGAGACTCCTGTAATAAAAGACAGATTAATAAGAGAAAGACAAACGGAAGTTTATTGACATGTGTACCTCCTGGATACATGGGAGATACCCAGGAAAAATGAGTAACTCCAAGAGGTGGCTCAGACTCCCAAAACTGGGGACAAAAGAAAGAAAGTGTACGGGGGAACAGGCTGGTTTCAGGGAGGTTATGGGAGAGGCCAGGTGAAGGAGGGTGAGGTGGTGATTAGGATCTAAGTTGCTGCCTCTCCATGGATGAGTCTCTTGTGATGTAGCCATCCTTCTCTTCCTGGTACAGAGCGGGAGACAGCCATGTAATGGAGAGATTTCCTTTAATTTCTCTTACAAAAGGGTAACTTCTGCTCTGTTTTCAGAGCTTCTCCTGTGTCCGCTGTTCCTTAAAATAGTCAACTCAGAATATCCTGCCAAAGAGGCATATTTGGGGATGGCATTTAGTGCCATTTACAGAGATGGAAAATACTAAATGAGTAATTAATTAATTAATCCAGGAGCTAGTTAATGAATCTGTGGTCTGTTTCACAAATGCAAAATACTAATCTGGCTACTAGCTGATCTTTGAAACACCTTCCTGCTCTTTATCAGCAGAAAATCCAGAATCACCCTCTTGAGGTATCCCAACTCCATCCTGACACAGCCAAGAAATAAAGCCTAAAATTTACACATTCTGAAGAGGAGTAGTCTTCTAAACACCTGGGAGCGGGCAGAACTGAAAGTCTGTTCCTGGAAACTCCGTGGCTTCATCTGCCCCATGGTGTCACTAAGGAAGATCCACCCTGCATCCACCTGTCACTAGGATGCTCCGAGGATGCCCAGACCTCGCATTTACAACTCTTATGTCCTTGTACTCAACCATTGTTCCTCAAAGGACAGTCATTCGTCGGTTTACTCCTCCGAGTCCTAGAAGGCTCAGATCCTCAGCCACTTTCAGGGCTGAATCAACTCTCCCCCACAAATGCTTCAGCCTGGCTGGCCTGCCTCAGGTTCATCCTGCCTCCATGATTTCCCCTTTGAGCAGCTGAGTTGGAGCAGTGGATGAGGTCACAGGCGAGCCAGTACATTTCCTTAGTGTGGGATCTGCACTGGGCTGGGAACTGATGTCCGCCTCTACAAAGGGTGCTTCTGCACATTAACCCTCCTCCACCTGGGCAAACCTATAGGCTGGGACAGAGGACTTGTCTCTGTCAAAACAAAAGCTGGACCTTCCCTGGGGCAATGGGGAGGACCCACCCTACATTTGCATAACAAAGAGAACAACTCAGGTGACTTTCCTTGAGTCTAAGGTTGTATCAGCTGATATTAGCAAACTGAATGAACCTCCCTGCCTAACAAGTAGCCTGTTATATATTATAAATGTCATTCACACATAATAACTTTCCTTAATATGTTAAGCCATATAGGTTATACTTACTATGCAGGTTAGGATCTGAGTATTTTATGTGTCTGCTTCTGTGTACGGAATATTTTGGTTTCTCTATATGCATTTTTCCATATACAAGAGAAGCATTTTATCTATTGAGGTGTCCCATGCCAGATTGTTTTAAAATAATAAATGTACACTAAGCAAACTTCTACTTCTGTGTGAGCTAATAACTCAGTCAATAAGTATATTTTTAAATGATGTTTCAGAAACGTACAAGGAGGACTTTATGCATTCAATAGGATGTAGTCCAAATTCTTAATTTTTGTTTTAGTAGAATAGAAAAGGAACACAACTTGACATATAATTTAAAAAATATAATAGGGTTGCCAGTGTCAAAAATGAGGGTCTGATTGAAAAGTGTGTGTCCATTGCAGGTTCTTCTTGTACAATAGTGCTGTACTATTGTGGCTGCCTATTGTGAACAAAAAGTCAGGTCCGTTGCTCTTAAGTAAAGTGGACATGTGTTTGGGACAGCTCAAGCTGACTGAAATGGTTCTGGATTCAGGTGGACAAGGAGTGGAGACATCCCTTAGATCCTATTGGCCCTGTGGAAAGTGTCTTTATGACTTCAATTATTCCAGGGAACTCCTGTGGCAAATTGAAAAACACAATGTCCATCACCTTGGGAAGAGTACCTTCTTTTTCTAAGGTAATAGAAGGATAAGACTGATGCAACTAAAAATATTGTTTTCTTTTTTATGGCAAGAAAACAGAAAGATCCAGAGTCACCAAAATTCCATTTGGAGAAAAATATTTAAGAGAAAAAATGAGTAAAAGGTATGTGGAGGCACATGAAAGAATACAATCATAAAAAAGAATGAGTGTGTGCTTCATCAATAACTTTGTGTCACCCTGAAGGTGGAAAAGCAATTTCTGACCCCAATGTAGTGTCCTTGGTTGAGGACTTTCCTATTAGTCTCTGAATAAGCTTTATTGCCTTTACCAAGAAATACCTTTCCACAATTCATAACTAGAAGAAAATAAAATGACGTTTATTCCAAAGACCCAACCAATGTATTTTCCACTGTGCTGTTTAAAATTGGTTTTCAGTTCCCCCTCAAGTCTTCCTGTGGCTTTTTTAAACCAATCTAGATAACCCTAGGAACTTTTTATTTTTATTTCATAATTCTACAAGGAAAGAGGAAGAGTTTGGGTTTCATTTCAGTTCGACTAAGCCTTAGTGGTGGTGTCACTGGTAATCTCAATCTGTGAAGATCGCAAATAAATATATACATCCTCTGTAAGCACATGCATAGATCCATTTTACTACAACTCATTTTCGTATAATTGTCATAAGCTTAGCTAATTATGTAGATACAGTATTTCTGTTTCTTATACAACATGAAATTCATGAGTATATAACTTTTTAGTGGCATGCTCTATTATCATTATAGATATTCCAAGTGAAAATTTGGTTTAGAAGTAGAGAAGATAGTTTCAAGACTGAATTAAATCTCATACCGTTAAAGGATGCATAACCATTAGTGCAAACCAGTGTTTCATATGCTGACAATTCTGTGAATCTTTATTTGGAAGGACTTTAAGAGGATTGCTGGGGAAGATGTGCTCTGTGATTACATAAATTTAGGATACACTGGATTAAATTATTTTTTAAAAAAGGTTTTTTTACTTTAGGACTTCTCTGAGATTTCCGTATGGGAATCTACAAGAGGCAGCTATAATGTATAATATTTATGAATCTTGTTTGACCAGATACCTGTTAATAACTCTCAGAAGTACTCTATAGGAGACTTGTTTTTGCAAGGCTGATATGTCTGTTGAAATTCTTATTCATGTACAAAATCGGTGCACTTTTGCTTAAAGCCTTTTTATTGGGTAATATGGGTCTGCTTTTGATGAATATGAATAAAAATTTGGAAAGAGAAGTAACAAAAACATATCTTGGTTTTAAACTTTACAATGAGACTCTCATCAGTGATCTCCTTCACTTTTCTTCTAAATTTTTATTTTTAAATTATTTTAGTACTACATATTCATTGTATAAATATTGCTATGAATATTTACCATGAATATTACTATATAATAATTAATAATTTAGAAATTAAATAATTGTTTTAATCCTATATATTTATTTTTAAATTATTTTAATACCATATAAACTGTGACCGAAATTCTCACTTGGAAAGGGCTGCGTCATCACACATGTGACCACTTGCTTGAGGAAAGGATGAAGTCTCTTTCAAGGATGTGAAATTCAGTCCAATGGACAAGGTTGTGAATGTACAAGAAGATTTGTGTATGATGTTTTCCTAAAACCCAGAGAAATCTCAGCAAAAGTAGAGCACAGGTAGATCTTAGATTCTTTAGGAACATAACTCAAATAGTAAACTCAAGATTGCTTGTAAAGTATTCATTCAATGCAGCTGCCATTTTGTTGCCTAGATTGGCTACCATGGGTTATGATTCTGGTGAATGAATTCTATATTATTACTATTCTAGATTACAAAATTTGTGGCTTATGAGTACGAAACTCTTGACTTTCTAACTGTAAGCTTTGGGTCCTCAAGTCTCTCCTGCATTCCACTCTCTACCTGTCTTCTTTTGGGGTTACATGGTTGCTTTCTGCTAAAAAGATCGGCTTCAGTGATTCTGATGTGGCATGTCTTGCTCTCTTCTCCTTGAAAGAATTACTCTGAAGCCCAGACACTTCCTTTCTTCTTGATATCTACTGAGAACTCTGTTTCCAAGTAAAGTTTCGCTACTCAAAATGCTAGTAATAGTATGAGTGATGCTGATGACAGGTATGACAGGCCAGACACCATGCTATGGCATCAAGACGTAACTGTAAGTGGAGGGCTTCCAATGTCCAGCGTTACGGTAAAGTAAGAACTTTGACAATGTGTCCCCTGAAAATATGTGAAAGGTGTTGGGTAAAATTGTTTTTAGCCTTTCAAAATATATCACTGAGCCTGCAGGAAGATAAGGACTCCTTAGAGTCCTCAAAATGGTGTGAAACGTAAAAAGGTTGTGAAGCTCAGAAGAATGAATGTGTGTGTACTAAGTGACGCATGATACAACTCCTTGATATATTCCATATTTGGTTGCATTTTCAACCAGATTTTGCTAGAATCTGTTCAAAGTAAGCATCAGCAAGAGGCATGTTATTGAAGATATCCTTGGGAAACTAAACTCTTTTCTTATGTTCATATGTGGATAAATGATTCATTATGCCAATCAAGAGTGCTTTGACCCACAGGAGCTACTACACCTGTAAGAGTGCGGTGGCCATGTTTCCAATCATGTGACCTGGTATTGTCCTTTCTTTGTAGCATCAATCGCATCCACCTGCAATGATCCTGGTATGCCTCAAAATGGAACCCGCTATGGGGACAGTAGAGAGCCTGGAGACACTGTCACCTTCCAGTGTGACCCTGGCTATCAGCTCCAAGGACAAGCTAAAATCACCTGTGTGCAGCTGAATAACCGATTCTTTTGGCAACCAGACCCTCCTACATGCATAGGTATTATGCAACATAAAATAGAAATTTGCATTTAGGAATGAATGCATGTTATCATTAAAATTGCTCTGTAAATGTATTATTTCTTCAGAAGTATTTCACAAGAGTTTCTTATGTGACCTCTGGTCCTCTGAGACTATATTAAAATTTTATGATAAACCTTTAAACTTTGTTTTATTAGGTGAAATAAAAGAAGTAGTTTACTTAATGTACAGTAATTGACATTTATGTAACATTGCCTATCGTTAACATATCTTGTAAAAATATGGATCAATCAAGTTACTGTAATTTAAACTTCTGGGTGGCTGAAAATTCATAACCCTACCATTTCTAGTCTCATTTTTAATATAGAAACATGCCCTTAAGCAAAACCTACTCAATAAAAAGTACTTTCTCTTTTTAGATGGCTTTTCTATAATAGCAGTACATTTTTAATAGAATCCTGAAAACTAGAAATTATACTGCTTATGTCAAAATGAAGATAAAAGAGAGACTTTTTTCTGAAATTAGCTAGAATTTTATAGTTTGACCTTATTAAAAAGATAGCAATTGGTTTTGTAGACTTTAGTTTGAAGAACCATCCAAGATATTCTGTCACTATATGGTTTTAGGGCAATATATATTCTTATATAAAATAGTAATTACATGTGAATTGTCCCTTCGTTCAATTAAATATTTTAGCATAAATATCTAGAGTATTTCATCTTAATTTTTAAAAGAAACTCTACTAAACTTTATTATTTTAGTGAGCCATCACAGTTTAATTTGTGCCTTTATAATCTGTTTGAAAAATGTAACATTTAGTTAATCTGTGAAGAGATGAAGTGATAATGAAATGAGATGCACATAGTTAGTGGACCATTTTGCATAGGGTGACCTTGAAGGGATTTTATGATTTAAAATGAGTATTATGGTCATATACCCAGCACTAGGGAAATTCTCAGTGGTCCCGTAGAGCTGTAATAGGCAGCTCTTAACGTACTACCAAGTACTCGGAGTATCCTCAAGATAGTTGAGTTTTGATCGCTCTGCTTCTTAGCATGTCAGCCTTGTCAGAGAGCTACCGTGTTTATGTAATGTTGTGTGCTGCATTTACATTTCATAACTTTCGGGAGCACAGTCTTGCATTTTATTTGAATCTGAGTCATCAGGAGACTAGCAAGATTTCTATGCGTTTCTTTTTTAAAGTGGAGTAATTACCTATAAATACAAGAATCATTTTAAACCATTGGTCTATTTTTAAATTAGAAAAGGCACTTTTTTTTCCCATTTTGCATGATTTTAAGCTCATGGAGGAGTACATTAAAAAGCAATACAACTATCAGTTAATCTCTTAAAGACAATTTCCCAGTTGACATTAATTTAAACACTTAATTGTAAAATTTGACCATCTTCCCAACTAATCTACTGTCTTTTGTTAGTTCATCTCGTAGTTATCTCACTTTGACCAGCGACTAGATAATCCACTTCTTAGCAAAGAAAATAGGTGACACTTCATGTGTCTGGAATCTCAGCTCCAGGGATAAGTAAAAAATTACTTGCAGGCAATTGAATATCAATTATGTTGGCAACCAGACCCACCCACGGGCCTAGGCATCACGTAACACAAAAATGGAAACTGTATATTTGGGAATAAATGAATGATATCTTTTCATTACATTGTAAACATTTTTTTTCCAGTAATGAGGCTTATGCTCTCTTTAGGAAACATGTCCCTCAGAGCATCAGCAGATTGCATCTTAGCACTCACATAAATTCTGTTCTGCTAATTTGAGACACTTTTTATTTTATTTTTTTAGCTTTTTCCTTATTAAAAAATAATACTTGCTTATTGCAAAAGTTTCATAAGCTATAGTTGAGAAAAAAGCTATCATCTTTTTACCTGAAGGCAATTACTATCAACGTAAAGATACATAAGGAAGCTTCCTAATTATTTTATGTATGTATAATCTATTTGAAAAATATTTTTAAGTGACAGCATCCTGCATGATTATTTGAAAATTGCATTTTTTTACTTACCAGTACCTAGTGAATATTTTTTGTGTTATTATGTATTTTTACAAATTAGTTTTTAATGCTTGCACAGTATCTACCAATATTGATCCCACTAGCGCCCTCTTCTTGGATAATTAGGTTATTTTGGTCTTTTCCCTGCTATCAATAACTGAAGTGAACGCTCTTGTTGCAAAACATATCCATGATTATTTCTGAATGACATATTTCTGCAAACTCACATATTTCTAGGGCTTTTAAGACATAGTTTCTGGACAATTGCACCAGTTTACATTGTCCTCAGCCACCTGTGAGTGTTTATTTCCCCCAACTCAGGAAAAACACTATATATGCCATTTCTTAATCTTATAATTTAAAATGGGCAGACAGTGAAGCTTCCTTGATTGAATCAGCATTTTAAATTAATTGTGAGGCTGAACTGTCTTTAAGTTCATAGTCTTAGTGGGCATTCCTCCTTAGCCTGCTACTTTCTTTTTTCCTTTTATTGTTCGTGTACTTTTCCCTCATGTTTGCTGTTCGCTCTCTCTCCTTTAACAATCTCTTAGCCTCTTACCTGTTTGTATGTTCCTCACATTCTCACCAGCTTGTGGTTGGCTGCCTATTTTTCCTGTGGTTTGCTGGGTACAATCCCTTCCTTTTTTCACTTTGCAAAGGATTACAGTGATGGAGGCGCCTCCTTTTGGCGTTCTCAGCTGTCTTTTCTGTTTTTCTTTTTTAACTGAGGTCATATTGGTTTATAACAGTGTCAGCTGAGTCTTAAAGGACCGATTCTCCAGACCAGAGGGCGCTCGTTGTTTTCCAGTTCTGAGCTATGTCCCTCCCAGTCTCCATAGTTTCATTTTCTTACATCACCTGAAATACGTTTTCTCCAAGTCCAAATTCTAAAGAGCTCTGAAAAGCAAAAATGTATCTTAAGTTTGCAGAAACTCATTTTTTTGGCATCTTGCTCTGATCTACAGGGTGGCTATTTGGAGACTATTTACCCCATTTACTGGTGTGAGCATTGAAATGTTTTGACGCCTAAACGTTGATGTGTCTCCTTAAAGACTAGGGCTTCACACTGTGATGGGTGAAGGTGTTACTGTGTGCGTCGGGGAGGCGAGACTAAGGATTTCGAACAAAGGATTGGGGATTGATATGAGTTTGTGGATTCTGTCCACAGAAATGTTCTAGAATGTTCTAGAGGGTCTGAGTTGCACTTCGTACTAAATTCTATTCCTATCCAAAACATTTTGCTAGCCCTTTCATTAAAACCTAGTGAAGCTAACATGAAGAAGGGCAGATCAGAAGAGAGAACAAGCACAGAAAGACAGAGCTACTTAATTCCACTTTAAGCCTTTAAATAACCTCATTTGAAAATGCCTCCTGGGACTTGCATGAATAAGACAAGATCTCCTCCTTTGTTTCTATTTAAGCAATATTTGAGTCTCATCTCTGAACTCATCTCACTGGTAGCACCCTTGTAGCTGGTGCCCCAAATCTGTCATTGCTCATCTTTCAAAACCTGCGTGGAGTAGAATCTCCTCCGCCCCTTAGGGACCTTATTTCTCCACCTTCGTGCCACCCCCCTCATTGTCCACGCCTGTTATGTGCTAGCAGCCAGCACCTACTGCTTCTGGGAGAGCAGAGCCCTGTGAGAGCCCATTAGACAACTGTTTCTGCAGCATTTGTTAAAATGAAACTGTCTACCTGGGGAAAAGCGGTTTGAATCACTTTTTGTGAAAATTATATCATATTACTCGTGAGTGTATATCTGTAAGATCTTTTATAAATATTCCCTCCGATGTTGTTCAGAGTTTGCCCTTGACGAGACTGAAATTACACCAAAAAGTACTGGGATTTGTCCTGTTTCTTCTTATGGAAAATTAAGTTTTCAGGAATGCTGAGTATTTAAAGACACATCTATCACAGAAAATTATAAAGTACATACCACAATCTTATTTACAAAAATTCGTTTGTGTGTGTGTGTGGAAAAAGATCACCAATGAGGATATTTCCTTCTCTACTTATTTTTTTCCTAAATGCATATATGATCAATGATGTGAAATAAGATATATAGTTTAGAGGAAATAGTATAATTATTCAGGGTGTTTTTTTTTTTTAAACAACCTAGTGATAAACCACAACATTTGATAGGAAGAACCTTAAAACTAACATCTTTCTGCATTTGTCTGTCTGCGTACTGATGAATTTTGAGTGTTTTAACACCTTCCACGTGATGGAAGATGTAATAGAAATCTTATCTGATAAATGAAACGGTCCTAAACATTTTTATGTTCAAGAATGAAAATTGTCTTACCTAGTAACAAGACTGAACTCCACAATTATTGGCTCAGTAATACAGATGTGAAGACATGTAATTAGAAATTCATGACTGAAAAAACAAACTAATTTGCTGTCATCTAAAGTGCATCTTTCTGATAATAACACAGTAAGCATTGTGATCAAATAATATTTTTAGAGATAATGTTCCAGCTCAGCTTCTTATGGGTTATGTATCCTCTAATGTCACTTAAACTTCATGTGTTCGTCTTGTCATTTTGAAATGTGGGGAAATTATTCCAAACCCTACCTATTTCAGAGGACTGTGACACATATATGGAATATCAAGTATTCATTTATTTAACAAGTATTTCCTGAATACTTACATTGTGATCAAAACCTTTGCTAGGCATTTACAGATCCAAGAGTGACCAAAAGATGGATAATCTTTATGTCACTTGAAGCATGCTCTCTAGAATGAGTGAGCAATGACTTTGTAAACCATAAGAAATAACCAAAGAATTAACATGCCCATAAATGATGTTCACAGGGATTTTTTTTTCCTATCCAAGACTTTTGGTATATGTATGATGTGCATTACAGAAGTATTGGGCATTAAGGCAATCTGTTCAGTTTATTCAAAGTTTAAAATTACAGGAAGTGAATTTTATTTGTCAACAGTTTAAAAATCCTCCCTAAAAATGAGATAGGACATTATATAAAATTCACTAACAATCACATGAAAAATATCCAGACCTCTTGGGTCTTAATTTTCATCTGGATAATTGTTTAATAACCGAACACATAGTCTCTTAGATGAATTCTCTGGCGTCTCATTTTACATTGCCCGGCATGCTTCTCTCTCCTAAATTTTCCTCTTCTGTGACAGCTGCGTGTGGAGGGAATCTGACTGGCCCAGCGGGTGTCATTTTGTCACCTAACTACCCACAGCCTTATCCTCCTGGGAAAGAATGCGACTGGAGAATAAAAGTGAACCCAGACTTTGTCATTGCCTTGATATTCAAAAGGTACCATCTCTTGTTGAATACCTCTTTTTAGTAGAATTTAAATGTCATGCTTAAAAATTACTTCATTCATCCCTTCGTAGAGTCTCCAATTTTACATCTGACGAAGCCCTAGATCTTGTGTCTAATAGATACTATATCAGGCTGCAAAATGGCATAAATGGAAATACATTATTTTGCTTTGGATCATTCTACTTGTATTGGGATACACATGACATAGCAGGAATTACTTTTAAGTACTGTCTTGCACATAATGTTTTCCACATGAGAAGGCTTAAGTTACAGAAGATCCAAGAAAAGTAATAAAGAAGTGATATACATATACTTAGTATAATTTCTCATCAATGTATCGTGTTTCTCTAAGTGCATGCTAGCTAATTCATTTCCATAGTACATCTTGTCTGACATTCCCAAAGTTAGCACTGTTCTCATCATTAAGAGAGTCGTGACTTGATAGAACTTTGAAAACAAAAGTTTCCCCAGATTTGGTTGCCGTCAAGTCTGAATTACTAGACATTAGTCTTTTAAAAGATTTCTAACTTCTTCCTACCAAACTAAATGATAAAAGTTCAAATATTATGATTATTTTATAAATATAAATTCTATAGAACTATATATTATTAACATCTGGTATTTTATAATTGAATTTTTTCAAATCCCAAGATCTTTTCCAACTTTACGTTTTGGTTTTTGATCATTTAAAAGATAAGTGGTTCTATAGACTGTCCTATTGATCTTTTAGCTGTCCAGGGAAAAGTGGTCTCGTTGCATTTATTTATCCGTCAATTGAACAAGCTGTCTTTTCTGTGGTTACATCAATATTCGAGGCCTGGTTCTGATTATCTTCTTTCACATTCTCCTCGTGATGAGATCTGAGTCAGTATAATTTTAAACCTCTATGATTCTGATTTTTAAATAGTTTGATAAGCCATCATTTCCTGAATTTACTCAAGCTGCTATAAATTTACCAAATGATGAATACTTTATTATGCCACTCAGCTATTGCACAAAACCAGTGATCATTTTCTGGGTATATTTTTGGATATCTTTGTGGGTTTTGTTAATGCCAAATTCTAGTAGCTCCTTCCTTAAAACCAGGAGACACCTCTAGGACCAGGAGATCGAAAGTAAATTAACAATTAAAAGCCCTGTAGGGGACACAGAGCCTTGTTCGGAGGAGTTTCCTGCCTTCCATGTGTCACAGTGACTCAGCGTCAAGGTCCCCAACGTGCAGGTTGTTTGATAATATAGGAGGCACTCTGTATAAAAGGTTTTCCACAACTCTCTGGAAGAAGGTTGAACTAGAAGATCTCCAAGTTCTCCTCTGACTCTTAGATTCTTGAACCACTAGCTGACCCAATGTCACAGAAACGTCACACGCCTGTGACTTCTTCTAAGAAATGAGAAACTTGTGGGTGCTCAGTGGAGTCATCCTGGGACCTTAGCTACTAGATCTACTCAGTAGGTGGAGGGGGGAAGCCAGAGTACTGGATGGGGGACAGGGATGGTCAACTACCCAAGCAAAGATGCTGATGCTGACACAGGCTGCCACAATGCACTGTTTAAAGAATGTGACTAAGGTCAGGTGAGCTTCCATGGGGAGCGGGAGAAGGGGAGCCTGGCATTACTAACGATGGAGCCAAAGCAGTACATGACCAATAACACACAGGAGCTCCTAGGCTCATCCTGGTACTTGGAGTCTGTGGAGTAGGAAGCTTTATCACATGTTCCTGAAGGCTGTGGAACTGATGCTGCACACACATTGGAACTCAGTTTAAATTTGGTTTAAAAGCTTGGTCAGACTTTGGCCTGTTATTGTGGCTCATAGATGTGTGCAGCTAGCCTAGGTAGAATTAAGACTGGATTTAGTAAATAGAACCATAATTAATTATAAATTTCAACCCAGAGCTCTGTGCATGGATTATGGTACATCCAAAAATAGAGAGCAGTTAGAACATGGTTTTATTTCTGTGCCTGAACGTGTTTCCAGGTTCAAAAATAGTCTATAATAATAGTTATCTATGACAATTATTGGGGGGTGCAGCATAACCAGATTCTAAGAAGACTTTTGTACAGTATTCCCAATAAAATTATTATTCCAATCAAATTCTATTAGGTTGATACAACTCCAGTCGGCCCCATTATGCCTAGTCACCCCAATCTTTTACTCTTTCTTCATATCTGACTTCAGGGAACTTGTCAGATAAACAGACTAAGAAACCTTTTACAGCTTCCATTAAGAAGTATATTCAGGAATCTTGCAGGGGAGCGAGCGTAAACAGGATGCTCCATATACTGTAACACAACAGGATGTTATAGCATATAATAAAACAAGATGGCGGGATGCAGGCTGGCTGTGGTACCCATGGTCCCCAAGTTTGGTTGAGCCTCTTAAACAACAGCGCGTGTTCCTGATGAGAAAAGCTCCTGAGTGCCTCCATCCCTGTTGTCCAAACATGCTGCTAACTGAAAAGAAAGAGAGTGGAAGTGCATGGAATGATCTATGTTGTATAGACAAGGCCCTGATTTAGCCTTGAGGGAACCGTGGAGGGCCAGTCAGAGTGCATTACCTGAGTACCTCTGTCTAATGTATTCCCTTATTCTGATCACATTGCGTTCTTAGACATCTGAACCAAATTCAGTCTCTTACTAGAGAGTGTGTATATTTTTGAAACTCCCAGACCATCAGCAGCCTTCTCATCATAAATGGCAAGCACATTTAAAGCCATATCGCATTTGAGAGCTTTGCACTTGAACTCTCAAAGTCTTTGGGGATTGTCAGGATATTAATATTTGAGGAGAGAGAGACAGGGAGAGAAATGGAAAGAATGGGAGAGGGAAGGAGGGAGGGAGGCACAGAGGGAGAGAAGGAGAGAGGGGGAGGGGAAATTGGAAAATTCAGTGCTGGTGAAACAGCTAACTTCCATGCTCTGTGCCATTACAGGGACTGCCGGGTAGAGGAATTTATTTTCAAAGGTAAAGACAAACAAAAAGAGTTCTTAAAAAACTTCAAGAATAGTTGGTAACACCAAGGATACATATTTTTAAAACTAAAAATATTGACATAAATTAAAATATCAGTGGGACTTCATCCCTTTTGAGCCCAGTTCTTTCAAATCACACTTTGTTAACAATTTCTTGAGGACAGGGAAGAGATATTCTGTCTATGCCACCAGCATTCATTTTCTTATAGCTATCTTAAAAATTATATTATATTGAATATGATGGTCATTAGGTAAAATACTAATAGTATTTGTTATCATGGATATTTGTCTTTTATTGCTATTTTGATGTTTTGATTATTCTTACATTTAACTTTTAGATTGTCCTAATTTTTAAAAATTCTTATACAAAAGCAAATAAAACCATTGTGTGCTCTCAGAAACTTTGTAGTCTGGAAGATAAGAGAAATATATATATATATATTAGGTACATAACGTAATTAATGTTCTTTCCTTTAGTTTCAACATGGAGCCCAGCTATGATTTCCTACATATCTACGAAGGAGAGGATTCCAACAGCCCTCTGATTGGCAGTTTTCAGGGCTCTCAAGCCCCGGAAAGAATAGAGAGCAGTGGAAACAGTCTTTTTCTGGCATTTCGGAGTGATGCCTCTGTGGGCTTGTCAGGGTTCGCCATTGAATTTAAAGGTACCTGTGGTCAGCTTAATTTGTGTGCAAATTAATTTTTAGCAGGATTGTTTGAATTGTAAGCATTTCTTTATGAAATCCTGCATGTCTGTTTAATACATAAAATGCTGACATCTCTCTCATCCGTCTGGGGAAGAGACTCGATCTTTCCAGTGGAGAAGAAATTCCAGGGATGCATTTGTACCCTAACTGAAAGGACAAAACAAATCATGAGGAATTTTTTTTCCAAATTCATGGCCATTTAAAAATAAATTATGATTTGTGCAATGAAGAATTTGATGACATTTAAGATTTTGAGATGTCTTTTAGTATCTTCTCATTTGTTTCTTCAGGATGACTCAATTTAAGTACATCAAAATAGCTTGGTTTTAATCTCAATATTTCTCAAGGTGTACAATATCTGTTGTCCTCGCCCTGTCGCCTACACCCATGAGCTGGTTTGATGAGGAACTCTGGCGCCGGTGAGAGCTGTCTGGTTTGGTGACCAGATAACTGTCTCTCACTTCCTCTGTGGTCCACCGTCCTCCATCACCAACATCCAGAGAAAATAAACCATCAAACTCACATACAAAAACCGCCCTAAACTAGGCATTTTGCTATTGAGTCCATGAAAATAATTACATTTTTTTCAAATCCATTTCTTATGTGAACAAAGAAAATGCAAGATATTTTACAAGGAATCAGAGAAAAGGACTTAAAATATCGGTTCACTTAGGGAGTGCTTTATAAACATAAATGAAAATATGTATGTTTATTTAAACTTTTGAGTTAGGTATTTGTTCATTAATAGAACTGTAAAATAAAATATAGAGTGTCTTTCATCTCTGTTAACTCTTCAATGAACTTGTATTTCTTCGTATGGTTTTAAGAAGAAAATTAATCTATTTCTCCCTAAACACCAAAATCTACAAACTTACTGATCTTTACTAAAATATGCAATGAAAGAATTTAAACAGCTCAGCAATCACAGGCGTTCCTGTGCATTTTGGATGGGATCTCTTAATGTTCATAAATAATTGAAAACATTACTTTTAAGCATTTGCCATACCATTAGACAGTTTCTGTAATAACGAGAGCTCACTGAAGAGCATGGCACCAGGACGATGCCCTTTGTATAAGGAGTGAATAGAAACAACACCCTTCATCTAAATATGAGAATGCCCCTTGATCATTACTGACTTGGACAGCTCGCCTTCTCCAGGGCATTGTAGGGTAAGAGAATCAATGGAGGCGTGAATAAACCAAGTACAATGTGCCTTCCTAGTGATGGGAATAAAGCTGCCTCTTTTGTATGGGTTCTTTGGTGACCAGGATAGCAATCAAAATGGGGGCTAAGCTCTTAACATTTCCAACGTTCTCCAGTGGAATCTGTGAAAAGCTAAAATCAGCAGAAGCCAAGGGAAGGCAATAGTGATGATGCTTTGCGTCCAGCAAGTGCAAGCTCCTGTCCGGTCAGCAAAGCAGCAACAGAAGCAACTCTTCTGCACGACGAGAAGTAGGAGTATCAGGTAGTCTGTCTGAGCAACAGTCTCAGGGACCCACCAGTCGGTTCCGGAGGCTCCGACAGAGACATCTTTGCTCAGAGGTGTCCTTAAGTGGAACGGACGTGAACAACAGCAAAACACACCCTGTTATGTAGTCATCTAATTGGAGAACGGGAGAAGCTAAGCAAAAAGAACCTGTGATTTATCACCAAACATCCTGAACTGACAACTGGGTAAATGGAACCAAAAGATTAGATGCAGTTCTTTTGGAGAAATGGAGACAAACTTACCATCAGAAATCTAAATTAGTGGCACTGAGCAGAAAATTGTGTAAGTGGTGTTTAACCACAGAAAACGAAACTGAAAGAGATTTATAACAAGAAATGATCAGACAGGCTGACAGCACAACAGGAGTGCATCGCAGACACACACTGGGAAGTTTTTTTACCATTTTATAGGAGAAAAAAGTGCCTTAGACAAGTGCTTGTGTTTCCTGGATGTGCAGTGCATTGTGCTGGATGACTGAGCAAACACCAAATGCAACAAGTCTGCTAGTGTGCCGACAGTGGGATTTACTTGTTCCTTATTTGCTTAAAATAAACGTTCTGTGTTCTGTGGGATTTAAGGCAACACAAAGAATTGCCAGAGTCTCACCTACCCTTTGAAATATCCAAATATATTTTCAGTAAAGCGATTAGAGAGTTCTGGTCCCAACACAATACACAATTCTTGCTGAGAGACTCTAAAACAGCAAAAATAGACAGCTGCCAAAGGTTTTGTATTATTTTATATATAAAAATATAATTATATCTCTATATGCACATATTTATATATAATATATTCATTTATTTATTTATGATTTATTTATAATATATATAATTATATATATAAATATATTTATATATATGTTGCATTTCAACCAAAGCATGTAGATAAAATAGTATAATCGATTCTTATAATAGATTGTCAACAATTGCCAAAGAAATTCCTGTTTGGCTGATATTGATATATAAATCATTAAAAATATCATGGAAGGGGCTGGCCCAGTGTTGCAGTGGTTAAGTTTGCACATTCCACTTCCGTGCCCTGGGGTTCACTGTTTTGGATCTGGAGCGCAGACCTACATACTGCTTGGCAAGCCATGCTGTGGTGGCATCCCACATATAAAGTGGAGGAAGATGGGCACAGATGTTAGCTCAGGGCCAGTCTTCCTCAGCAGAAAGAGGAGGATTGGCAGCAGATGTTAGCTCAGGGCTAATCTTCCTCAAAAAACAAACAAAAAAAATCATGGAAAATATTGAGTAAATGCCATTAAACAGGCCACTTTTTCTTCCTGTACAACTTCCCAAAGTTTGTGCTTCTTTCCTCTTCTGTGTCTTATCCCCTTCTGGGAGGATGGTGTGGTGAAAGTTTTCAAAGACAATTTCATCATTAGTCTCTCATGGCACACCTGCTACAATTGTCTTCTTCCTCGCATTACCACGTGGATTTACTAATAAGCAAGAAGTAGATAATCAGTAAGGAAAAATTTAAAGAGGGAGCACAATCAACATTAATCCCAGCCAAAAAAAAAAAATCCATCTTCCACTTATGCTGTCCAGAGATCTTTTATATGTATGACAAATGCTGGATTTTCTGCTATCAATAAAGGAATTGACATGCATGAGCCTTCTACAGGGAAAAGATTGTCGGGGCAAAGGAAAAGGAACTCAAACTTATTTATTTTATCCACTCAAATTGTCCTTGAGCCTATATGATATCATAAACTCATTTACATACACACACACACATGCACACACACTCTTGCACACATACATACATATACACCCCTCCACACACAAGCGCTCACACACACTCACGCAAACACAAAGTCAAATTGTATTTTCATAACTTTCAGCCAAAACAATGTAGATGCACATTTCAGATAACTTCTGTATTGATAACTAGAAGAGCTACAATATTCGGTCCCAGAGCCTTCTGACATTACCAGGAACGTGGATGGTGGGGTGTAGAATGTGGACATGCGTAAGAAAAAGCAATTCAAATGATGCAATGACATACAACATATTGATATATAAATATATACATATTTTCATTTAGAGATATTTCAGAAAGTCTGTTGAAATAAAGACATTTAAAATACTAAGGTATTCAAAGATAACTGAAATTAACCACATAGCAATAAGACTGAGAGAACAAAGAAAAGACAATTTTGTATTTGTGTTTGGGAAAAGAAAGGTTTTTAGGGAAAGTTATTTAACTTTTTTGAGCTTCAGATTTTCAAAACTTAAAAGTGGTCCGCTATAACCCTTCCCTTAGAGGTGTACTGAAGATGAGAATTAAACGTACAGCGCACCCAGCTCGCTGCCTGGAACGTAATAGGCGCTCAATGCAGTGAGCTGCTGGTGCAATGAAGACAGAATTGTCTTACATTCCAGACCCGGTGCTGGACGCTTATCCATCAGTAAATGGACTTTTCCATCAGTAAAGTGGACGTTTGGCATCCACTCCACTCAGTGAGGGTGGTAAAAGAGTCAGGTTTTCATGTCTCTCTTCCCCATCTGTCTAGCGTTATCAGCATAAGAAAGGACTCTTAACTACATGAATTAAACCAAACTCCTTTTGAGAAGCCACGTTCTCCCATCTCTTCCGAAGGCACGCTGTGATTTCATGTGGCTGTGATTTAAGTCCCAAAGTCAGAAAATGAACCTCAGTTTTTCCAGAATCAACTTCTTTGTTTCAGTACTAAAATTCATAGCCAAAAAATAGGATAGATGTATAAAAAATATAATGCTGCAATTTTTTAATCTAGATTAAAGTAATTCAATAGTAATTTTGTAGTAAAATGTGGTTTGAAAAAAGAAATAATTTTATTAGTTTTTTCCTATTTTTCTATCATATTTAACTTGATAGTTATTACCTTGATAGTTAATAATGTCTATTACATGTAGTTATTACTTGATACTTAATTGATAACTCAGTCATTAGTCAATCAATACTTTTTGTTAGCATTTCTCATATGCTGGGCACCGTTCTAGGTGATAAAAAAATAAGCAACCAACCAAACAAACCAAAAATTCAAATTCCTGCCTTCCTGGAGTTTACAATCTTTTCTTCTCCAGAGAAGCCACGGGAAGCCTGTTTTGACCCTGGGAATATAATGAATGGGACAAGAATTGGGACAGACTTCAAGCTTGGCTCGACGGTGACTTACCAGTGTGACTCCGGCTACAAGATAGTTGACCCCTCATCCATCACATGTGTGATCGGAGCGGATGGAAAGCCCGCCTGGAACCGTGTCCTGCCCTCCTGCAATGGTACGTTGGAACCAGTTTTATTCCTTTGGAAGGCAGACTCTCATTTTAAAAATTTCACACTTGAGTACAATATTCCTCTGATCAGTGGTTAGGATCTCTCACGGAGCTAACGTGGAATAAGTATCTGATATTCCTTGATCATTTGATTTAGCTTCTGTATTAGCCATTCTTATAGGCTTCTGAAAGGGGTAATATTTTTCTCTCACTTAGATAGTTTGGCATTTTTAACTTCTACTTTTTGCGTATTCTTGGCCTGATCCACGTAAGAGGTACTAGTCAACAATCTCTAGGTGTCCCTTCTCTCTCTCTCTCTTTCTCTCTTTCTCTGTCTCTGCTTCTGTCTCTGTGCCTTTCTCTGCCTCTCTCTACTTCTGTTTCTCCCTCTATCTGACTTTTTCTCTGTCTTTCTGTCTCTGTATCTCTCTGCCTCTATCTCTCTGTTTCTCTCTCCTTATCTCTCTGCCTCTCTCTCTCTCTTTCTTTCTCTCCCTTTCTCTCTCTCTCTTAAAGTGTATATGTCACTTCCCCCCAAACTATCAATAGTTTGCAATTCCTCTTATAGACATTAAATTGATAAAATCGTCTATTAAAAGGTAAGATCAACCTTCAAGAACAGACAAAACTAGCCTGTAGTGATAGAAGTCATGTCGCAGTTGTCCTTGTGGGTGGTGTGCTGGCAGGAGGGGCGGAAGAAGGATTTCCAGGTCGTTGACCATGCTCCGTATCTTGATCGACTCAGTGGTTTCATGGGCATCTCCATGGACAAAGCTCCTCCAGCAGGGGACATATGGCTTGTGCTCTTCCCTCTGCCTGTGCTATGGATGAAAAAGTTGGTAAAACACCATAGTTTGTGACGGAAAAATTGATTTTCAAGATTACTGTAGGATGAACTCAAGGACCTGTTTGGTTAGATACCCTGAACTTGCAAAATGAAACTGTCCTCCTCAGGGCAGCTCAGGTGCTGCTGGTACCTTCTGGCCAAACAGGAGCTTTAGAAAATGAGTACAGGAAAAATCAAAACCCAGACTCACCCATGCCCCTGTATGTCCTGCTGCTTCTGCGTCTCCAAATTTATCAGTCTTACAACCTCAAGAGCCTGTGACTTAAGGAGCCTTATCTCACCAGGACCCAGCACTAGCTGCTGGCACAGAGTTAGAACTTCATATATGTTTCCAGAGGAAATGAAAAAATCAGTGAATAGCTCAAATAATAGTTGGGGAAAACAATCTACAACCTGGTAAATCTTCCCAGTCCTACATACTTTACCCCCTAGTAACAAACATAGGAACATAGTTATTGATGCTTCTCAGATTTCAGAAGGTAAGAAAGAGCAGAGAATGATGAAAGGAGGAAGCAGATGTCTTGTGGTCCCCACGTGCGTGTTACAGACTGTTGAAATGATGCTGTTTAATGAATGTCTTTAAACATAACCATAAGGTTTGCATCAGTAGCATTCTAATGTTCTGCAGAGGATCTGAAGACCATTGTCATTTACTCATTATATTAATTTCAGCATCACACCTTTCAAAGTATGTGTGCAATCCTGTGGATTTTCCTTGTCGCAAAGCCGCGTTCCTCTCATGGTGTCTCGCACAGGATGGGGTGGGGTGTGCCTGCTGCTCTGATCCAGTTGAGAGGAAAGACCACAGAGGTACAGTCCTGTTCCAGATCTACTGCAAACCAGATGTGCAAAAGTGGGAAAGCGGCCCAGTGCCTGCAGACCCCACGTCCTCTGCACAAGAAGGCTGGAAATATCTACCCAAGACCCTCCACGGGGGTTGTTGAAATGGTCACGTGAAAATTTAGCTAAAAAAGATACACCTGAAAAATCCACAGAGATATGAAATTTTATAGAAAGTTAATATAAATTGCATCTTATATTAATTATATTTAAAATGCAAATGTCTTTTATTAATATCCCAATAACCTCATAGAATTGGAAAGGCCTAAGGAACATTCATCTCCAATTCTAAAAACAGTAATCTAAATTCCTGTTTCACTGTTTATTACTGTTATTTTTCACATTTGAAATTTTGAAAATCACTTTTTATGTATGTAAATTGCTCTTTATATATGTATATACACATATATATGTAAACAGAAATGTATGTATGCATTAAAATGTATGTATATCGTATAAGTACATATACTTACATATGTAAAGAGTAATATATATGAAAAGCAAATTTATAAAGGAATTATGTGAAATTCTTACTCCAGATAATGTGTTGATTGTGAATTTTAGATGATTATGAAGGCTGGTTTGTGAATCAATGTCTCCTGTTGATCTATTTAATGAAAAATACTCAACAAGTACATTATTTCAGTTACATTAGTTGCTTTGGGAGATTTATAAAACATGTGGGCTACAGAGTCCTTCTATCCTAAGTTGATTAAAAACTAAAAGGAGAGGCATGTGGGAGCTTCACGAGTGGAAATCCACTTCGGGGAGCTCACAGGAGGCGGCGGTGGACTGCACGGCCTGCAGGAGGACAGAGCCTGATCTCGACCATGCGGGTCAGGACCTGGGGCTCCCAGGGCAGCACAGGCTCCCACACAGGACAGCACGGGACACTGAGGTTGGGGGAGATGGGCGCTGAGCCCTCACAAGTTGGGAAGCAGGTCCAGTGGGAGGCCCTGTGCCCACTGTGCCCCCTCCCTGACCTGCAGGAGGGTCCTTGTGGACATGAGCAAGGAATCTCACCTCCTCCCCATTTCCTGCTCTCTCGCTGTCAGCCATCGCCCCCACCCGCCAGCTCCTGAAAGGCCTGAGCCACCCGCCTAGATCTTTGGTCCCCCAACCTCTGGGGAGAGAGGACCTCACAGTGGGGCTGGGGCAGGGGCCCAGGGTTCTCAGTCTAGAGCAGGACTAAGGGGTGTCTCTCTTCTCAAGTCAGCTGAATCCTGTCTTTACCGCCCGGGGCTAAAGGGAGAAGAACACGTCCCTCATGAGTGTTGGGAGGATGAAATAGGAATTGCATGAAGGTCTCCGACAAAGTAGATGCTCAATAAATAGAAAATCATAATTCTGTGTGTAAATGGCACACATAGTCACTTTCACATAGCAAAGGACAGTGACCCCAGACTCCTGATCTGCCGTTGAATCAGCCTATCACTGTCGAGTGTGCAGTCACAGTATCTGCCGCGCATTTACAGGTACTGAAAATCTTAGCAGATGTGCTGTGGGAATAATGCATGGGTGCAGGCACTTAGACAACTTTGGGTAAAAGTTCTACTACTTGTTTTGTTTCCCATGAAATGATCTGTGCACTCCCTGGTGTGTCCATATCCTACTTCATACATCTCTGTAGACAGTATATAAGGGGACCAGTGTAAAAATAAGAAGCTAAACTGAGGAAAGATCATGAATTTTGGACTTTAAGTAATACTACTGTGGGAATTAAATTTGTGATAAATTCAAAAACAATTTGAATGTATGTTGGAATGGGAATAAATACTTTGGCCACAGAATAAACATATAAAAATGAAGTCATTTTGGGCATCAGATACGTAATCAAGTTTTCAATTAGAGATTATTTCTTCTTTTTTCTGTTTTTCCTTTTTTTTTTTTTTCAAGGAAGATTAGCCCTGAGCTAACATCTGCCACCGATTCTCCTCTTTTTGCTGAGGAAGATTGGCCTTGAGCTGACATCGGTGCTCATCATCCTCTATTTTATATGTGGGACACCTGCCACGGCATGGCTTGATAAGCAGTACTGGGTCCTCCCCTGGGATCCGAACCAGCGAATCCCAGGCTGCTGAAGTGGAGCACATGAACTTAACCACTATGCCACCCTGACAGCCCAGAGATTGTTTATTTTCCCATATCTGAAAGCCTGTGAAGTCAAGCAGAATTTCTGTTTTCCACAAGCAAAGTGCACAAAACGTAAATTTTTCCTTATGCTGTTTATTTACATTTAAATAAAACTCAAAATTCCAAATCCTTAAACCAGACATGACTTCCCGCAGTCTGTTTTGGGTCTCTCGTGGAGAACAGCACATCGTGTGCACGAAGCAGGGTCTGTGGCTCGTTCAGATGATCAGTTAAACTCGGGGATTTCTGCTGTATTTTAACCAGTTTAGCAGTTTATCTCGGATGGGGTGCAGTCAGTGCGTTTTCCACACGTTTGTTTTAAATGCGTGAAATAACTTTTTCTTAGTGATTCATCTGTTGCCCACAGTTTTTGTGCTTTGACATTTGCTACAGAATTAGGACTGAAGCTAAAACAGCCTGGGGGCCCTTCCAGGGGTCCGAATGGCTTGTGTTTGCCTGTGTTGTCTTTGGTTTACATTCAATTTGCTTTATGTGTGATACATATATTCCAATTAACCAAATGGATGAGGAAGTTTCTTGTTACCATCTGCAACGAGTGCTGTTGCAAATCTTTACTCCTTTAGGAAATGATCTTTTCAATATGTTAATTACAGAATGGTAAGCACATATTGATTTTTCTTCTATCTCATTAATATAAAAGAATTTCTAACACCAGAGAGACCATGCCTATTTCTTAGATTAACACGGTAACCTGGACGGAATAATGATTAAGAATGTAATGAAAATTCTCTACATATTTTCTCAATTTCATAAATGTTTCATCGTGTTCTAAGTATGTAGCTCTGGTGCTTATCTTTAGCGTCTCAAGAAGAACCTGTAGGCATAAGCACCATTTATCAAGATAGTAGAGGACTTTGCCAGCTCAGGTTTCTTTCATTTCACCTTTATTAGTTGTTTTTTAGTGTTTTCTATTATCATAAAGTAATGCTCTTTTATCCTATCCTTGGACGAATAAATCTTTGTAGTTAACTTCAACAAACATGTCAGACGGTGTCCTGGATAACATTTCTGCCTGGTAATTTGGGCATCATTGTCAGCCCAGGGATGATTTATTTTCACTTCTCATTTATACTCGTTGTTTAAAATTTCAAATAGATGCATTTTTTTTGATGGAAAGAGATATTGTGCAAGGATCTGCTGAATTTTATATGCCTAAAAGAAAGTACATTTTATGTGGCTAAAAAAATAAATTCCATTGTTTATTTATACAGAGTTCCCTCAGTATCCACAGGGAATTGGTTCCAGGCCCCCCAGAGATACCAAAATCTGAGGATGCTCAAGTTCCTTATGTAAAACAGTGTGGTATTTGCATATAACCTGGTGGATCCTCCTGTATACTTCAAATCATCTCTAGATTACTTATGATACCTAATACAACGTAAATTCTCTGTGAATAGCTGTGATACCGTATTGTTTAGGGAATAATGACTAGAAAAAATGTCTGTACATGTTCAGTACAGATGCAACCGTCATAAGCCTTTCGATCCAGAGTTGGTTAAATCTGAGGATGCAGAAGCTGCAGACACGGAGGGCTGATGGTACTTATTTTTTAAAATTTGAACTTTAAGCTTTTAAGGAAAAAAAAGATAAATCTGAAATAACCTGGTTGAATTTGCATGATTGAGTTTGGAAAAAAATTAAGTGATATATCTAAATGGGCAGAATGGGTCTCCTAGCGTTTTACTGAAAACCTTCAGCTTCGGAGTATAACTTATAGAAATTTCCTCCAGAAAAAGTCAAAAGTAGGAACTGGCCTGGTGGTGTAGTGGTTAAGTTCGTGCACTCCACTTTGGCAGCCTGGGGTTTGCAAGTTCGGATCCTGGGCACAGACCTACACACCATTCATCAAGACATGCTTTGGGTGGCATCCCACATAACAAAAAAGAGGAAGATTGACAATAGATGTTAGCTCAGGGCCGATCTTCCTCACACTCACACAAAAAAGTAAAAAATAATTTTTCCATTTAAAACTGTAAAAAATCAATATGAGTGTTTTAGAATGATAAAGTTATTCTGAATTAAGACATCAGCATGAAGATAATGCTTAGTTTAATTAATTCTCTATCAGTTGATCACAAATAGATCAAAGCTGTCAGATGTATAAGCTATTTTCCTTTGACTTTTAGAATATGTCTTAAGTTTTCCAAGCCATCGTAGGGCATGGCTTGGGAAATCTGACAGATCATTAATGAGGTGCTTTGACATTACTATCAACATATTCTAAGGAGCTTTGTTAATCGTGGAGAATGTTCTGTCCAACAATTAGGACTCAACAGTGTGCTAATTAACATTCAAAGGTTAAACATTTTATCTCTGGTTTCCAATTATTTTAGTGCTTGTAAACTGTCATATCAGGAAGAAATAAGCTATAGAAATACAGATTTTCTCAAACACTGAAAATAATTCTGAATTCCAATCTGTGAAGCTGTATCCAAGACAAGGACAAGTGTGGCTGGGCCACATGGGACGTGGCGCAGGTGCACTAGGCTAGCAGCTCAGAGCTTCTGTGGTAGTCACAGCTCTGCAACTAACTAGGTGAGCCAACTTGGACCCTTCTTCAGTAAAAATATGGGGAATTCAAGTACTGGCAATTTAATTCAAAAACTGCATATCACAAGGCTGGGATTTAATCGAATTTCTGTTTTCAGATGCTTAGAAAGAATATTTTGAACATCTGTGCTACACTGTTTTCCTGTTTTCTCAGCGAGAGCAATGCCAAAGTAAATAAGATAATCAGAGGGAAATAAAGACACACGCGTTCACACACACACACACAAAGCGGGGGGGGGACACCTCATCCTTGTCTCTGCCCTGACTCTCTAGTTACGAATTCACTCAGCTTTAAATGCAACTTGTAGGAGGAGACCCCAGAAGCATTAGTAATTATACCTGTTACTGTTGAACTTAATCCATGAGACGAAAAGTTAAAACAACAATTGCAAAAAACTAGAAAGCAATCGTTTTTTCTTTTAGTCCCATAGTAATATAAAAACAAGAGTAAACTGAAATAATCTCTGTCTCCTAAGTTGACATGGTGATGGCTATGGACCATAAAATTCTGGTGAGAATTTTAAAGTCACTTTATAGTTTGTCTTTATCAAACCTGTTATTATTGTTTGCATTATTATTTTAGCATGTCTGAGAGAGGTCTTAAAAATAACATTAGGTCTTCCTCCTAAGTTGAATTACTTTTATTCTAAACTGGTAAATCTTTGTTTGTCTTTTTCTTTTCCTCTGATGGCAGTTTTTCGCTTTAACCTTTTCGGTTTTAAGTGAACCCGGCACACTGCTCGTTTACTCCATGCTTTGATCCTCAGTCCGCCCGTCGCGGGCGGTGTTGTTACTGCTCAGCATATGATTTTCGGTTGATTTTACTTTCAGCTCCCTGCGGAGGCCAGTACTCTGGATCAGAAGGGGTGGTTTTGTCACCAAACTACCCCCATAATTACACAGCTGGTCAAATATGCCTCTATTCAATAACGGTGCCAAAGGAATTTGGTAAGCATTTCTTGGTATTTTTAATTCATTGTCGTATTTCTCTCAGTGTTCATTTTTTTGTTGTTTTATAAACAAATTTTCCAGCTCTCGATGTCATAAAATAATATAAAAGAAGATAAGTCGTATTAAAAGTTGCAGGTTTTCCAAACGTATCTTACGTAATAGCCACTACAGTTCTTTTATCAATGTGATATAAGATGCTTAAATTCCCTCACAGGATCCTCATTCAGAATAATCAGAGAGATAGGTCAGCCTTTATTCTGATTCTTGTTAGAGAGCATGCTTCACCTGGTTGTTTTCATGTCTGAGGGCGGGTTGCGGTGTACGCGTGGTCAGGGGGTCACTGCCTCCCAAGTTGTGTGTTCTTGGCACATACATTGAGTGATCAGATGATGATGGAAATCACTGATGATTGAACACACCCTTGAATGATTAGAGGTGTAAAAGCAGGCAGAGCCCTATCTGACTCCTGGAAGCCTAATTTCCTGAGCTTTCCTCCTAAACTTTGCTTCCAATGAGCCAGTTTTCCAGAATGGCTTCATTTCTACAGGGCCTTCCCTGGGGGCTCTGCTGTGACGTGCTCAGCTCTGGGCTCCTGCGTCTCCACTCTCACACCTGACCAGGACAGTGTCTTTTGTGTTGGGTCCTTGTCTGGAGTAAACCAGAGAGTAACTTTTTAATTTTATAGAATAGTTTCTTTTTTCCAATAGTAAAATTAAAACCCTACATCATCAAGGTCTTTTCTTTACATTCAGAATAGCAGCCACCCACTCACAGAAATAAAGCAGATAAAAATTCTAATGTTAGAATTTGTTTGAGGCAAAACATTTTTAAAAATACACTTGTATGACAAGAAAGTGCATTGTGGAGTAAGAAGCTTGCATATGGGAGACAAATGATTTCCATGAGTTTCTGCTATTAATTATTTACGGGCTCCTTAAAATCTAATGAAAACCTCCACGGGCACTTACTTCAGCCTTAGGTATTTTAGAACACGAGCTCTTCATGAACTGGGTGATGCAAATTGATTAGTATCTTAAGCCAAATCATTTAGCTTCTACTTCCACCAGTTCTCAAGAATAGTTGAGTTCTCAGGCAGGGCTTTCCTTGTATCATCTGGCTGTGTTAGGGAGAGAGTGTGTCATGTGACACTTGAGGAATGAATGGATGGATGTGTTCATGGACCAGGGCAGAGGGACAAGCTTCCCAAAGTCAAAGAGCAGGTCCTCATATTCTGTGAATCAATGGCAGGTGTTACTCCCATTTAACAATGGAGAGACTGGGCTTCAAAATGTTTCCTTTGTTATAATAAATGGAGACTAAAACTTAGAACAGTTCCCAGATTTAGACTCTTTATGCTGGACCAATTCCTCCAAACCAAAGACCCTCATTTAGCCTCAGTTAATTCTGTATTTGAGTAAAACATAATTTTTCACATAAGTACTCAATAACATTGTTCCGATTACTACTTTCCCATGAATATTCCTCGTGTTTTTATTCATGGATACCCGACAAAATATATTTATCACAATGGAATGGAACAGCCATTCCTATGGTTTTAGTTTATTGCAAAATTTTGTTGAGTTGTCACAACACAATTATGATTTTTCAGCAGAAAAAACATTATACCCCCCATCTTAAATATTGAACCAAATTTCCCAATCTGAAAGGTTTAATGACATAAATTTATTATATTCCATCTGGGCAGAAAACTTTGCTTTGGAATAAAATAGTTAGATGGAGTATTTAATGAAATCTATACTGTCTTATCTTTGTTTTTTTCACTTCTTGTTTACTCTTTCCTGCAAAACAATTAATTCTACAATTGTGATAAGTGCCAAGATGAATAAAATATAGCCCGTGCCCCTGGGATGCCCACCAAATACTATGGGTTGGGGTGACTGTTGCTAGGTAAGAAAGGGCTGTCACTGTGGTGAACACAGGCTCCAAATGGGAAGTGACATGTGGGACAGCTCTTCAGATACCCTAATCATCTCCCCATTTTCATCAACAGCATCACCAAAGTATGCTTTCTAAAACAAGAATCTGATCATGGAAACACTTGGTAAACGTCTTTCACTCACTCCTCTGCCTGCAGTGCAAGCTCCACATGTTTCAATCTGGCCTCTGAGACCCTAAATCTCAGGCTGCCATGGTCTTCGCACCCTAATTCCCTTCCCGTTATCTGCTGAGTGTTAGCCAAACCAGACCATAAGCCACATTTGTCACTGCCAAAGTTTTGTTCTCTGTGTTCCACTTGTAGAAATAAATTCGTTGCATTCCATTCTTACACAAAAAAAGGGTTTAAAATCTCATTCTTTATGGACCAGCTAAATGCTCTTTCCCCCCATGAAGCATAAACTTTTCTACAGTTGGAAGCAATCGCTCCTAGGCCCTACATCCACTTTTTGTCTCATCCTTGTCACTTCCAGCCGCAACACAGACATCACTGGCCAGCCTATTGCTCTTGGCAGACGTCTGCATGTGTGTACATTTGGGTTGAGAGTCGGTCATAGGTCAGAACTCCGCCTTAGCAGCTGGTCAAGGAGGCTCCATGACCGTCTCCCCAAGTTCAATGCCACTCTCCTTTGCTGACATCTACACTCTGAATCTGTAGTTGCTGAGACAGCTACTGCACATCTTAGCCTGTGATAGTCCGAGAACGAAGTTTCTAACCTGATCATCCCTTTATTCTTAGTTTCCAGCATAAAGTTGATGCTTTCTAAACATTTCTTGAAAGAAAATAGGAATTATGTGCATATGATCCACTTTTGTACTATTTCAAAGACCCAAGCATTCTTCATACAGCATGATGAAGATTTAATTATTAGGGGGAGGGTGTTGTGAAGGAAGGAATCGTAGGAGCAAGAACCTTGCAAAATCGTAAAGTTTTCTCCCTCTTTCTTGTATTTACAGTACTCATCCATTGGCAAGATCCTCCTTGCTAATATGCTTCCTTTAACTGTGTTTCTCTCTGGGACACTGTAAAATCTTAAAATACAAATTTATGTGTTTCATATGTGTATATGTGTATATATATGTAATGAAGTGTATGCACACATAGTATATATAATGTAATACATAATATATATAAGGTAATAGAATATTTGTACACATATGGAATAGATCTATACACACACATGCTGTTATAGTTAAATTTCCCTCCATTTTAAAATGCCAACATTTATATTAATTCTTTAATGAGTTCTGACATGTACAACTGACACACAGACCTCCATTTCTTGTTCAAAATGATTTTAGTGTAAACTTTACACATAAGTAAAAATTAGTTGTTCATTGCTTGTAAATAAATAACTAAATCACAAGTTTTTCTAAATAATTGTAAAGGACCTATGCATGAACAATTTGAGCACACAAACACTGATTAAATTTGAAGAAGTGAAATGCGTGGTTATTTGACCTAGAGGAGGCGTGTTCTTGCAACTTAACCTACGGGATAAATCAAATTGAAGAGTGGAATAGCAATAAGCAATTCCTATAGGATGTTGCTGAATCATGGGTTTAAACTGCAATGAGTTCCTATGAATTTGGCATTATGATAATCTTAGGGGAAGAATTTTAAATTAGCATGCTGTAAAAGCCAACAGATGTCTTAATCCCTATGCCTATTGTTCGTTGAATAAAATGTCATCAGTTACTCTAAAATAAATAGGACAGCGTTATGATTACTCTTCCACCATTCCAATGTATATTTATTAAAAGAAAAAAGAATCTTCATTCAATGTTGAAACTATACAGGGAACGGTAATTGCATGCTTTGTATTAAGTGTCAAGATCAAGAAGATCAAGAAGCAAAATAAAATTGTTTAAGTAGCTAAAAACTTTTAGCAAACAGAGAAAGTAAGTTAATATTTATTTTTGACAGGATTCTTAGAATCATGATATCTGGGGGGAATCCGTAAATATGAAGTACCACAAAAATCTCAGCCTCTCTTTCTTATGAAAGCGTGTTGTGCCCACCCCCGCCCCTCTTGTGTCACAGTGCTGTTTGGACAGTTTGCCTATTTCCAGACGGCCCTGAATGACTTGGCAGAATTATTTGACGGAACACACCCACAGGCCAGACTGCTCAGCTCGCTCTCTGGGTCTCACTCAGGTAAACTTTCAAAGACGTTTGTCTTTAGTTCTATTTAGACAGCTAGGGTGACTAATTTTAAACTTGTCTATTTGCGTGTGTGTCTGTGTGTAAAGAAGGAATTTAATCGTCTTTGAATTTGCTTACTTATTTAGTGAGATCTTATTTTTGATTTAAAATTTCAAGTGTATTTTTATCTCATGTATAAAACTGCCTGCCTTTATCATTTTACTTAAGAAGTTTGTAGAAAATATAATATCCATCACAACCAAAAAGGAGAACATCAAAAAGAAGGGTTAATAAACCATCTTGTGTGTTTTATTTTCTATTCTATGTGTTAGAATCCTCCTCCTGGAGATAAGCGCTGTTAACATCTTGGTTTAAATGACTCAAAACTTTAAATACATCACATAGAGACCCATTACACCCACACGTGTATGGTGCATATGCATATACACATACATAAAACAGGGGATATTATTTCAAAACTTGTTTTTTATCCCATACTTCCACTTAAAATCATATGTAGGGGTCTTTCTCTATAAAGAATATAAATATACACCAAATGTAATTGCTATTAGAGCTGAATAGTGTTCAGACTGATTAATGAAGCCCGATTTGTTTAATTCCACCCCTGACAGCGATGTAGACCTTATTTGTACCACTGCTACATTTTCATCATTTACCCAAGCAGGTCAAGTCATCTACTCCCATCACAGGCTTTGGCCAACTGAGGTTACAACTGGCTTATTTCCAGTTCCTCACTACTATTTATCAAAGGTTTTAAGACCTGTGTCTGTTACTTTTTACCAGGGTCCAATGATGTGATGTCTAGAAAAGCATCAGAAGATACACGTTTAAAATATTGATATGTACTAGCAAATTCAGCTCTGAAAAGTGTATGCCATTCACACGCCTCTCAACAGTACTTGAGAGAGACCATTTCCGTATTGTATGTATACTTTAAAAGGTGAAAAATATATTTCACGAGCCTCTTTTTGAATCCTTTAGTTTCTTTAATCAGCTTTGGTTTCAGAGACATTTTCTTAATTTCAAGTAAAATCCTAGCAAGCAGTTATCAAATAAAGGTGATCTGACTCAATGATTCACCCAAAACTTTGATTTCCCACATTATCAACTAATAGAGCTATTATCAGTGCTTTCTTCAAAAGAAAGCATAAATGAGATAATGATGAAAATCACATTTTAATAGAATATAGAGGAAAGAATAGAGTTTTCAAATCTTTCCAGAAACAGTGTGTTTGGGTCCTAAACCCGAAAGCGAAATTTTATAAAAGTTCAAAAATGAAACATGAAATTCCAAGTGAACAATTATTTTCCAAAATATTATTGTCTACCACAGCATTGTGTATTTTATGAATCCCATGTATTAGTTCTTTGTATTTTGCTTTCTGTTTTTTCCCTAGGTGAAACATTGCCTTTGGCTACGTCAAATCAAATTCTGCTCCGATTCAGCGCAAAGAGCGGAGCATCTGCCCGCGGGTTCCACTTCGTCTATCAAGGTAAATGTCACTCTGCAGCCTTCTTCAGTTTCTCCTCTCGCAGCACATACCACTGGTTTCAGCTAAAGCACCGAAAATATCTGAGCTGCGCTTTTTAAATATTTAAGAAATTGGAGGTACTCATGTATCTATAATAAAAATATTTAATAAAACTATTAAAATATTCCTTTTCACACTTAAATATGATATTTATACTACAAAGATCCAATAACACCTCCTTTATCTGGCATTATCAGGAGATAAATATTAATCAAATTACCTTTGTATGTTACCTTCACATTTTGCAAAATGATTTCAAGTGCGTTATAATACTTTAATTAAGTAAAATATTTCATAGTAGTTTATGTTTTAGTAAATGTTTTCATGAAATATTTTTAAGATACATTATACATTTCCCAGTCACTGATTGAAAAGGCAGTTTAACAAAACCAAACAAAACCCCAGTTACCGTCCAGGCTTCTGTTAGTCTAACTAGATCCCTTTTTTATTTAGTTGTGTCCCATTAACTTTTGGCACGTTGACACCTTTATATTTATAGAAATTTTGAATTTAGGGTTTGCTTTCGTCTTGTATATTCTTCCTATGGATTTGCAACCGTGCTGTGTGAGCTGCGCACACTCTCAGGAGCACAGAGCAAGTCGTCGGCTCTAGCTTGTAACGACTGTATGGAGTGAGATTCCGAAGAGATTGTCATCTTCAGACATGAACTTTGTGTTCACAAATAAGGGGCAAGGTCTCTCAGTTTGTCTAGGTCTCAGTTTTGCTTGAGACTAGTTAGATTACGGGCTGCTTTTACATATTTTCTTCAGAAGTGGAGGAGAATCACCTACCAGTCATGGTCTCTTTCTTTTAATAAAGACTTGTCCAGGAAACATGCTTCACAGCATCATATTTTTCACAAAATTCTGGAGAATAACAATCTATCATGTCATTCACATATCTAGTAATCTCACACTACAAATGCATGCCCTCAACACATTTCCTGTAACAACCTTTCAGTGTTCAGCAATAAGACGATTCGAAAAATAATGGATAGAGACTAAGAATAATATTTGACAGGCAAATGGGAGGAAAAATATCTCCAATACAGTTTCAGCAGCAGTTGCTTGAATGGTGATGCTGTTGGATTAAAATTAGTTACATTGTTCTAAATTATATCTTTTATTAAAACATAAATAATGAAAGGATTTTTTTTTTAATAGACTTTATTAGCTGGTGGCCAGTTTAGGCAACTTAGCTCGTATCCAGACCTGATTTTCTTCAAATAAATTCTCTATTACTTTGCAGAAGCAGATTTACAAACCAAAGTGAGTTTGCATGACATGTAAAGAAACTGGACCACTTGATTTAAGTGCCTTTTTTGTCCTGGAAAAATTCAAGTTACTGGCATTGTCCGCCTTGATAAGGGGATTTCTTTGATTTTTGATGAAGATTAGAAAATCAGTCAAACCGTCAAATAAAATCTCTGAGGCAAACGACTCAATGTCTATCCTATTTTCAAATGTTATTCTCAGAAGTCAGGATTTTGAAAATTAAGTTTCTTGGCTTAAAGTAACATTGTATTATCATTAAAATGTATGAAATACAGAAAAGTAGAAAGAAAAAATTCTTTATAAAAGGAATATATCTTCCTTGTATTTAAGAATATACAATGAATCTGATAACTTAAATATTTTATAAAGTTCCAATATACCTCCTTTTCTTGCTTTGTTCCTACAGTGAGTTTATGCAAAAATTGATGTCTTTTTATCAAAGCACTATCCTTCTGAGGGAAAGCAGTAGGATCATGAATGCAATTTATAAATCACTCAGGAACAGCTGGGAAGGTTTCCAATACGTAAGAAAAGTTAAATTGAACATTGCCTTCTGAAAGACACTAGTTATACAGAAACCTAGAAATGATTTGAACTCTGTTGTATGAAAACTTTCTGAATAATGCTTTCATCTACCACTTATGGCTTCATTCTTTCATAAGTTATTAAAACTTAAAATTGCACAGGGACTTTATGACTTCCACAGTTATAGGATATCTCACCCTTCTTAACAGACAGACAGTCTGTTATAAAGAGCTGTTAGAGACATCAGTGAAAAATAGGTGTAGCAATATCAGGATGCAGAAGAGCTGCATATGACCCAGGTGTGCCAAGAGGGCTCCTCTGGCCCTCTGCTCCCGGCCCTTCCATGCCATCCTGGTTAATGACGTGGAGACGTTGATAATGAGGATGTTACCATCTTTCTGATCTTGTGAAGAAATGGAAGTATAGAGGTTTTTGGGTTTTTTTTAACTTTTTTTCCTGAGGAAGATTAGCCTTAAGCAGACATCTGCCAATCCTCCTCTTTTTACTGAGGAAGACTGGCCCTGCGCTAACATCCATGCCCATCTTCCTCTACTTTATACGTGGGACGTCTACCACAGCATGGCTTGCCACGAGGTGCCATGTCCGCACCGGGGATCTGAACCAACGAACCTTGGGGACGCTGAGGCGGAATGTGCGCGCTTAACCACTACACCACCAGGCCAGACCGAGTTTTCTTTTTCTTTTCTTTTTTTTTTTTTTAAAGAATCCTAAATAACTTATGTTTTTGCTGTTTTTTATTTGTTTGTTTGGTTTTCATGCACCTTGGGAGTAGAAGGGTACATTTGAAAAGTGTGAAGGAGAAAAGAGAGGGAGTTAGGACCAGGGGCACCCCAAAGAAGGCTAATGGGGTAACTCTTCACATTACAGCGCTTTAAATATGCCTCGACTTTGTTTGTCCGTGATGACTTAGCACCTGTGAGGAGCTTGGTTTGGCTGTTTGGCGCTATTTGATAAACACCGTAGGACATTATCTCAGCAGAACTCACAGGTCATGGTTATGCAAGAAGCAGTATGGATGGAGGCTGACAGGTGATCTTAGGTTATTTCAGAGACAGTGGGCACCTTTTACAGCCGTGGCTCAAGCATCAGCCTCCCAGGTCAATCTTGCATTAGCCTTTGATTCAGCAACCACCCACCTCAGCTCTGTGATAGTCAAATAGAATTTAGAAGCAAATGTTATGGCGAGACTGTATTACGAAAACAATCTAATTATTCTCTTCCTGAAGCACGAGAGTCTCTATAATCATTCTAACATTTCAGTTCTGGACAAGCGTAACATTTTTCCTGTAAACCAGCCTTCCTGAAGACACAGGAGGAACGCTATGCTTGCTTTCAAACATGAGCAAGTTCCAACAGCTTGTTAGACTTCCTTTCAGGCATTCAGGAGAAATTGTCCCCACCCCATTCCCTGGTTCCCAGGAATTCCCTGAATGTTCATGGCGGGGGATCCCGTAGCCTTCTCTCCACTTCCTGAGCTCCAGGACCTGGAGACGGGCAGACGTACTGTGGCTAAATGTGGTGGAAAATATATTGTCCTTAAAGTCAGTGTATTCTTAGGTCAACGCAAAATCAAGAATCGCATTGCCCTCAGAAACCCTCCACGATGGGAGCTCAACTACTATTTCTTAAGTTCAGCACAGTCTGTTTCTTCCAGTATCAGAATAGACCTTTGAGCACAGCCAGAGGCACTCACAACTAGAATAGACAAGTATGTCCCGGGGGTGGGGGAGCTTTGGGGAGAATAAGAAGGAAAAAAATAGATTGGCAACAGATGTTAGTGCAGGTGCCAATCTTAAAAAAAAAAAAAACAAGAATAGAGCTTTGATTCTATTCTATGAAGTAGTTATATTGCATTTAGAGCCTTTCTTCTTTCAGCCCCAAATACACACTTTTAATACTAGAATCAACCTCAGCAACACTGGAATTAGCACAAGAACCAGTCTGTGTGGTCACAGAGCCCATCCAAGGCAGAGCAGATATTCTTCTCTCCTTTCCTGCTTATAGAGTCACATGCTAATTTATGGTGGAGGAGTCGAACACCGTCTACACTACCCTCTCCCACTCCGCTCTGTCTGTGCATGTGATTTGAATGTGTCTGTGTCAAACCTGGTGCTTGACGCTGTCTCATCAATATACTATTATTTTAATTGTTTTATGTTTATGCCTGGCTGTTTCCACATTTAGTATATTTTTCTTGTGTGTTTCAATGTGGAATTCAACACCTCTTTCAATTCCCTCAAAATAATTCACTCACACCCAAATTAGTAAGCCATGTAGGCTTACTGAATATGTGAAGTGGAGAGGGAAGCCATGTTTTTGTATCAAACCTCCCCCTAGTGCAAAACTTACAAATGCCACTTGTCTGCATCTCTATCTTTCCTAGTCACGCTTGCTGAGTCATGGACTCTAACCTTGATTCTCATCTCCCAGACTCCTCTGAACAGCATCCTTCCTCCCAGCTTCCAGCTGCCTAGTCTCACAGAGTCACTAGCTCAGGGCTTTCCTCGTCCAGCATCTTCCTATTGTCAAGACTCACTCTTTTTAGCATTAAAATAAACAGATAAAATAAACAGAGCAAGAAACATGGAAATGCTTTTCTAAGTTTGTGTAAGAAGAATTGACAGTAAGAATTTCTTTGCTTGAGGTCCTTCTTGGACATGCAAAGACGTGTGTTTGTGGATGTTCCCCAGGCCTCATCTCTTTTTAGGTGGTTTAAATTATAAGACTTAGTTGGTTTTCCACATCTGAGAAGTTCACATTTTGTATCAAGAACTTATACTATGCATGCTGTTTACAGAGAAGATTGAGCATCAAGTTTTGTTCATAATTCAGTGATATCGGTTTGAATTCATTGACTAGTAATGACTTGTCGAATCAGAGTTTTCAACTGATAGACCAGAATGATTTTGAGAAATAAAAAATGTCCCTCGGTCACTAAATGAAATAGGAAAGACTGCCTCTCTTAGATATTGCAAGGTATTCCTGCCTGCATTGAGATTTATTTTATTATTACTGTTGTTGTTTTTGCTACCTCCTCTAAAAGAGGTGCCATGAAAGAACCACATGCACATGTCTGTGGCTTAGAACACTTGTGGTGGTGAAGGTGAGGAAGGATTTTATCACATTATGTTCTTGTTTTCCCCTAAAAAAGAACCATAATTTTCAGTGTTGCAAAAGCACCAGAGAATAGCACCCGGTCTCTGAACCCCCTCAATCTGCCGGTCTGAGAAGCTGGTCACTTGAGTATCACCCTCTCTTCCAGGCTGACCTCACTCCCTGTTCACATTCCACTGGGCTCATTTCAATTTTGTTTTACAGCAGTGTGAAACATTTACTAAAAGATGGAGTGTAATTACCACAGAGAATGGAATTTCTCTCTAATGCTGCCTGAAACCTCCAGGTAAAGGGCAAGAACCAAGGTTGGGCTGAGAGGGAAAAGTTAGGGAGCATGGTTTGATTTTCCTCCCTAGATGTTACTTGGAGGTTTGATGTCTCAGTTTCATGGCTTTCCTCTGTCCCACTTTCTCAGATACATTCACACATTGCCTGACCTGATGGCAGGATACATTCTAAGCGATGCATTGTTAGGTGATTTCATCATCGTGTGAACATCATACAGTGTACTTACACAAACCTAGATGATAGAGCCTACTACACACCTAGGTTCCAAGGGACTGATCTTATGGGAGCACCATCACATATGTGGTCCGTGTTGACTGAAACATCGTTATGTGGCACATGACTGTACTTAAAAGTGAACTCTTCTCTTCATTTTGCAAATGTCTTCCTCTAAAAAATGTCCTCCATAATTTCATCCAAATGCAGGTATTATTCTTTTGTTGTTATCTTTCTTGAAACTAGACAACTATGAAGTTCATGCAGAAAGGTGTAATGGTGACGTGTATCCATGTGACCCTTCAGGTTGTGTTTCTCCTCATCCGTAGGAACCTGGAATGACGGCAATACCCTGGAAACACACAGATGGGGGCTGCTGTGTTTGAGGCTCCTTAGATAAGTGTGGCACATCTGCCACAAGTAGCGGATGCTCTCCAAGTAATTCAGGACAAGTAGAAAAATTGCCGTGGGAGCTATTTCTCCAGTTTTGTAAAAAGAATACTCAATAATTGAGCGTGGAATGTTCCATGGAGTGTCATTCATTTATTTTTTGCTCTCACACTACTATTCAACTGTAACAAAATACTCAGACATACAAATATGACGAATAGAGGTTTTAAGCAATATTTTATTGTAATAGAAATATTATAGTTATTCTGCATTCTGCTTTTAGTTATAGAAAATAGCAATTCTGATGTATCATTAATTTTTCCAACTATAGCTCTTAGATGGTATACAATTTTATTAACTTTTGCCTTCTAATAGAAAATATTTCAACACTGGATTGAAACAAAGCTTAATCAAAATAGTCTCCTGACTTCCATTCTCAGAGAATTGCTTCCTTACCAGCAATTACCCAATGATGTCTGTCATTGTTCATGTTCAGTTCAGAACATGGGACCAGTGTGTTAGGAAAAGCAGTGTGAAGACAGAAGGATTATTTTTAAAGAAAATGAGCCTGTGATCACTTTCTCTCACAAGGCTGTGCTTTTGAATGAAGAAACACAGGGACTAAGAGAAATGGGATCCCAGAGACAGTAAACACAAACTGACTTTAACTGCAGGGGAAAAAACAAAATATGCACTTCCAAAGTACACACCTGGTGGATCTGTTTCTCAAGGAGTTGGTTTGCTAGATGGAGTATTTTTCAAACTTTATCCCATGCCCCTTTTAAGAAACAGAAACATCTCTTACAGCTGGTAAATTCTGATGTGCAACTTAAGTAGATCTCTCACTTCCCAGGTTGGAATGAGGCTCACTGTCAATGCCCACCATCCAAAGACTATAAGAACACACCGTAATCAAACAAACCTGGGTTCTTCCTCTCTGCATCAATGAAGATCACACAGCACAGAGAACCTGGAGGTGTCTCAAAAAGAGAGTTCCAGGAGGGGCTGGTTATAGGATTTGGGCTTGTGCTAGGTGATATAGGGCAAGATTAAAGGCAGTATGATTTTCTTTGGATTGGATGGTGTCGGGGGGTCATTGAGTTGTTGAGCATCTTAATTTTTACCTGGGAGGTAGAAGGAACAGAGCAGGGCTACAACTATCATTAGTAGAGGTGGTTACTCATGTTAATTGGGAGAGGGGATTTTTGGTCTTTTTTGTGGATTGCATAGTTCCCGATACTGTCTGTGCTTGGGCACCAACACATAGTGGTCTCAGAGATTGTGTATGATCAACAGAAGGACAGCATGGCCCAGCTCTCAGCACCAGGCAGCTACTAGGTGACAGGTGTCAGAGCTGCTCCCCTCATGCCAAAGCTCTTCTGCCATGACCACCTCCTACCATGGAGAATTGCTGGTCAAATGAGAAGACCCTGGGAACAAGATGATAGGCTGAATTTTCCTACTAGGTCTGCTTCCAGTGGTGGGATCCAAACAATTTCTCTCTTCTGTTCCCTCCCAAGTCTTTCCATGTAGAATAAATACTTTAATTGTATGTTTTCCCATAGTACTTTTTTTTATTATTGTAACATGAGATTTACCCTCTCACGTTAAATCTTTTAAATCATTGTTAAAAATAAACACATTTTTAAGTGTACGATACAGTATTAACTATAGGCATGATATTGTACAACAGATCTATAGAACTTATTCATCTTGCATGACTGAAATTTTAAGCCCGTTGAACAGCAACTCCCCATCCTCCCCAAACCCAGGTAACCACCGTTCTGCTCTCTGTTTCCATGAGTTTGGCTTATTTAGATTCTTAGTATAAATGGAATCATGCGGTATTTGCTCTTCTGTTACTGGCTTATTCTACTTCGAATAGTGTCCTCTAGGTTTCTTCCTCGTTGTTGCAAGTGACAGGATTTCCTTCTTTTGTAAGACTGAATAATATTGCATTGTACATATATGCCTCGTTTTCTTTATCCATTCTTCCATCGATGGACGTTTAAATTGTTTCCATAATTTGGCTATTCGTGAATAATGCTGCAATGGACATCCCGATTTCAATTTTTTTGGATAAATACTCAGAAGTGAAATTGCTGGATCATATGATAGTTCTATTATTGATTTTGTTGTTGTATCCAAAATGACCAGTTATAAATAATCCTTTACATAGTGGTTTTTCTCACTAGACTCTGAGGTCTTCGAGTAAAAGTACAAGTTCTCAGTCATCTCATTGTCACTAGCACAATGATTTGGGTGCTTAATTAATTTTAATTGCCTGAATGTCATTGAATCCTCGTAAGGCACCAATTCTCCTTGTGCCAGATTTTCCTCGTCTGAAATGAGAACGTGAGGTGGTCCTCACGGTTGATGAGAGGATGAAACGTAGATGGGAAAGTGCTCCCCAGGTCATTCCCTATGGAGACTGTGAAAGGCATTATGAGTTTCCATGTTAACGTAAGCCCCCTCGCTAGACTCATCTCAGATCTTTTCCAAGGAAATAGCTTCCTGCTGGAGATACAGATGGCCGTATTGTATGCTTGCCTCTAGCTGTTCCTCGGACCAGTGACACCCAGTGCAGCTCTGTCCCTGAGCCCAGATATGGAAGGAGAATCGGATCTGACTTTTCAGCAGGTTCCATTGTTCGCTTCGAGTGTAACGCAGGGTACCTCCTTCAGGGCTCCACGGCTATCCGCTGTCAGTCCGTGCCCAACGCTCTGGCTCAGTGGAACGACACAATCCCGAGCTGCGTAGGTAAGCATGTATCCACACAGGGTGATGACTTGCCCAAGGCCGTCAATCCCAACTTCACAGCAGTATCGAAGAGCTGCCTTTCAGTGCTCATGTCCAGTCTGCATAAGTTGATCTTGCTCTAGACTGATTTAAGAGCAATTTACTTTATTGGAAACAATTGAGTAGCAGCCAAACCCTAAAAATTATTGTGTTTGGTGAAACAATTCATCAGATTAACAAGTCTGAAACATGTTTTCCTTCTCAATACTTATTAAGCATGCCATCAACTCTCAAGCCATGGGTATACAACATAATTTCATTTTGGGGAAAAATCATTATAATGTTGATTTGCTATATTACTTGTGTAATGCCCTTTTAATAAATTTGTGCTGATGAAGCTTTGAAAAGAAATAAGTTAACGCAGCCTGAATAACAATGACATTGTTAGTTATAGTTTATTTGTTTCATTTTGTGTAAGAACCTCTAGTGGGATCATGATTAGCACTTGAATTCATTTGTACATTTTAAGCATCTCTTCCCCTATCTGGATTTGCACATAAATCTCATTAATATCATTTGGAGTTGCATGTCTGCATATAGAAGAGAATACTCTGCAAAGCTCTTTAAATTGTATAGATAAATTATTCTAAACAGAATTCACTTCAGAGATACCATTGTTAGATACAGTGCCTTTGAAGAGACCTTGAATAGATTTATTTTGAGATGCAAGATCTATAACTTAGTAGTATAATAAATAATAATCAATGGTATTGCTAATTTAAAAGATAGACTAAATTAGACCTTGGCTAAAAGTGCCATTTAAAGTACATAGTCCATGTAAAATTTCTCTGAACATCTGATTACACAGTAAAAGAACACAAAACAACAAATTAATGTTGTCCTTCCCTGTAGTTTATTTCCACTAACTACGGTTTTGTCTTCTAGTCCCCTGCAGTGGCAATTTCACTCAGCGCAGAGGCACAATTTTATCCCCGGGCTACCCTGAGCCATATGGTAACAATTTAAACTGTATCTGGAAAATCATCGTTACAGAAGGATCAGGAATTCAGGTAATTCCTTCCAGCCCAGAGTCTGCAAGTAAACAGGCATAGCCAGCTCCTTGAGTTTCTTTCTTGCTTGCTTCCTCCTTTTTGTATTGTCTATTGTAAATACAAAAACCATAAGCTTTTTCTCTTGGCTTACTACTTCTACAAAGTGTTTCCAATCATGCCTCCATATTTGGAATAAAAATGACAGATTTTTAGGATAAAATTTATCAGAAGTGCCATTTGTAGAAGTTTTTGATGTCCTTCCATGGTTTACTTTCTTGGGTTCCATCTATCTTTTGCATAGATATTTTTAATTTTATGAAAACCCCCTATGATCAGGCTAATTTCTTTAAACCAAAAACTAAAGATTAATGATTTTATTGTTTGGTAGATTCAAGTCCTCAGTTTCGCCACAGAGCAGAACTGGGACTCTCTTGAGATCTACGATGGCGGCGATATGAGCGCACCGAGACTGGGCAGCTTTTCGGGTAAGATGGCACCAATTCCGTTGTCTTTGTGAGTCAGGGTCATCAAACACTAACAAAAGAAACTACAAGAAAACATTCACTGTGGGCATTTCCTACAAAACTCTTCTCTCTGCAGAGTAGTTTCTCCAGTGTCAGAAGTCTTAGAGCAAGAACACTGGAAAACAGATGAGAGGAGAGGAAGCTTTGTTCCCATTAAGTAGGGGGCAGATGAGAATGTAGCAGGTCAATACGAGTCAGACTCCTGAGGCTGCGAAGAGCAAATGGTTTAAGACCCCGTGGACACAGCAGGATGTCTTCACAGTGGAAGTTAATTGAGGGACGGAATGAATTTTAAGATTCCATCTTGGCCAACTTTCTTTTTCCATATACTTGTTGAAGGTGCTTGGCACAGTTAGGGACCCAGCAAGGAGACAGTTGAACAAGCTGGTAGCTGGTACAGTTGGGAGGTTGGGTAGTTACATGAGAACTGAGGACATAGTTACTGAGGACAATGTGAACCAGATTCCTCAATGTTTGAGAAGGGAGTTACAAAAATGGAAAGGAGGAAGGCTAGTATGGACCTGGTTGTGTTGGATTTGAATTAGAGATATTGGTGTGAACTTATGATTTTAATATATATGGTTATAAACATAAATAAAAATTTAAGTGTGTACCTGTATGTGTGTGTTTATGTATGTGTGTACGTATTTCCTACATGTGTCTTTTGAGAAGTGTAAAACAATAACACCCCAGTAGCAAATGAACTCAACTAGGACCCAATTCTGGGTTTCTAAATATCACTCTAATACCATTCTCCCCTTAAAGGAACCAGTGCTTCTTGGAGAAATGCTGACTCCAAGGCTCTGGCAGGAAAAAAATACATGATGAAACATTTTGTATAAAACTGAAATTTCTGAATCCGTACTGATATAAATAGATACACGCACAAATGAAATGAGTGAAAGAGAAAGCTTTCCCTTGCAGAATGCAAACTAATAAATCTAAAAGGAAGACGGAATCAGAGAGTCATCATTTGGCAAGCTGTTATAATAACAAATGATTCAGGCTAGAACATCAATAGATGCTAAAACTGATGGGTAAAATTCTGATGAAAAATAGACATTCACAGTTTCAGGCCTCTCCCCACCTGATCCTAATTCTTTACAAAGGAGGAAAGGTGTAACTCCGGAGTGGTGAAGCCTGGCAGAGACCACCTTCACTGAGCAGTCATTTCAAGGTCGCCAATAACAGGACATGGTTTGCTTTGGTGTGCTGATAAGCCTGCTCTCAAAACAAACAAACAAACAAAAAAGTTTGATATGTGTAGGATTGCAATTGCTGTGGTGTAAATAGTCCCACCATGGCGATTTCAAACAACCAGCGTGATGTCACTGAAATCAGTCTTGGGAAGCAATGCCCTGAGTCAGCCTCCGAGATCCTGCAGGAGCCAGCTCCCCCGCACGTCTGAGAGCGAGCCTGAAGACAAGACAACCTAGGAAGAGCACAGCATCACACTTTGAGGGTCTTGCCAAAATCTATAGCCTGAATCTAATCGCGAAGAGCACCAAACTCAAACTGAAAAATATTCTGCACATGAAACTGGCTTCTATTTTTTCAAAACTGTGAAGTTCATGAAAGGCAAAGAAAAACTAACTCTTCCAGACTGGGGAAAACTAAGGGGACATAAGATTGAATGCATCAGGTCCACGTAGATGGAATCCTTTTGCTGTAAAAGCCATTATTGGCAGATTGTTGAAAATCAGATGATGTCTGTGGATTAGATGGAACTGTTGCATCTCTTTAGTTTTATGTTTTTGAGAACTGTTCTAAGAAGCCCCTCCCCTGAATTTTCACAAGAAATGGGTCTTCGTTTCTGCAACTTGCTTGCAAATGGTTTAGAATAAAACAATTTTACAGATATAAATTATAGATAAAGAGATAGCTATAATTATATGTAATATAGAGAGAGACAGTAGACATATGGGAGTTTTTGTACTATATTTGCAAATTTTCTTTAAGTTAAAAACTCTTTGAAATTTTTTAGAAGGTTAAGTAAATATGGAAGAAATGACAAATCAGCAATAAAATTTGACTATCTTTTAAAATATAATCAATATTTAAACTTTTTTGTTCCTATGATACTTTAAAAAGTACTTATTTAGGAGATATTGAACCCATTTTAAAATTTAATTGTTGTGTGAAAACAAACAGGAATGAGTATTTGTTAAAGGGACACATTTCAGGAAAAATGACTGGCTTCTTAAATAAATTCAAGTTTTTTATTTTTCCTTTCTTTTTCTACAGCCATATGTATGTAGGACTACATTGTAAGCCTTATAAAATCATTTTGGGAAGTAGGCAGGTTATAAATTTTGAATGAATAAAATAGAGCAAAAGTCATACCAATTTGTAGCTGACGATTGGTGTTGAGGGGAAGTAAATAGCAGGGTGCCTGAGAGCAGAATCTGTAGGGACGGTAATAAAATTTCTCAAGTTTTCTTGGTTATATGTCCTTCTATCTAGGTCACGGTAAAAAAAATGGGATCAAAAATATTCTGCCTGTAGCAACCCTTTTGCAGAAATCTCTCCACTGCGTTTTGTGTGGTGGGACTAAGCTTCTTCTGACAGTCCCTCTGCCAAGAGCCCTGACTGGAAGCCCAGTGCAGGGGGAAGTAAAGGGCATGCCCTCGCTCCAGCTGCTCCCTGGTTAATTGATTCCTGTGTGTCTTCTATGCCACCTGAGACATCAAGATCCAGCATCATTTATGGAACCACAAATGGTTATATTTCCTAATAGAAGTACAAGCAGGACTGTCATTCATGAATTTGCTTGCTGCAATTAATACTAGCATGTTGAGGGGATTGATAATTCACAAAACACTTTCATACACACAACGCACGCATTACTCACATGTAAGGGAATTATTATTATTTTATAGAATTGGGACATATTGAAATTTTCAGTGTCAGAATCAGGAGTAGAAGCAGGTTTTCTGGTTCCACAGTGATATAGTCATGGAAGACAAACAAAGAAAAATGTGTGTTGAATACTTGAGTGTGCAAATTACTGTGTTGGGGGGCTGGAGGCTATTAAATAAATTTTAAAAAGTATGAGCTAGAGTTTCAACCCCCAAAGAGAGTACATTCAAAAAGCTTGAGCCGAGCAAGAAGCATCGTAGGAGAAGAGATGTCACACATCTGAGTTCAGAGAAAAGCTGAGTCGCTACAGAGGTGTGCAGCCTGGATGGTGGATGGAGAAGCTGAGAACTGAGCCGATGTCCAGTCCTCAGCAGAAGACCCAGACGTGGAAAGCCAGGAAGGGTGGCATCGCTTAAAAGGAGTTACAGTTAATTAAATAAAGTCATGCACTAGAAGAAGTTACTGATTACCCAAAATTACAGGTAAAACCAGGCAAAAAGTGGTGCGGATGCTATAATGAAAACTTACTTGGTTAGATTAGTTAGATCTAAAGTAACATATTGTTCTTTCTACACACATCGTCCCAAAATGCAAATATAATACAACAGTGAGAGGACGGCAAATATCAAATAAATTAAAATGGGTAAAAATCGGTGTTTTTGGTGGCTGTCTCCTTCTTGTCTTGACATTAGAATGGGTCTTGAGTTGGGCCAAGAAGCAGGTGCAGATGACATTTCCTGCACTTCTTCGCTTTCCACCTTCCTCCTTGTAAGTCACTCCAAGGCCTTGGGTGCACCCTGTTTGCTGACTTAGCAGCCAGCACTTTGCTTCTGGCAGAGGCTGGGGCCGGGAAGAGCATATTCTTCAGAAAGATTGCTTTTATTTTGGAAACAGGCCAGGTTACCTCCCTTTGCAACATTCCCCTGTCTGCACTCCATGAGCTATTACGTAGTTTCAAACAATAATCTCTCTTCGTATGTTTGCGCTGACCAGCTGGGATAGGCTTATGGTTTTCTCCCCAACAATTATTCAATTAAAAGAAAAATGATGTATCTGTCTATCTATCTACCTATCTATCTATCTATATATCTCTCATCATCTATCAAACCAATGTCAAATAACAAATGGGTTAAATCTGCAAATGTGTTGAAGTATTTATCATTCAACACACACCTAGAGTGTTCTTTCAGTGAATGCTGTGCTATGATTTAGGCTGAAAAGACCCCAGCTCCTAGCCCACCCTCCCTTTGGCAGCCAGGGAAAATGGATTCAAGCATAGATCCCAAATCACAAGCAGCGATCCAACTTCCAAAAGAGTTGACACAAGTGCATGCATGTGCGCACACACACGCCTGCACACACACACAGTCGGTAAACAGTGGATGTGGTGTTTTCTTTTCTTTCCTCCATTTCTCACTGTTCTTCCATCACAGTCCGGTAACAGTTGGGGTACCGATTGGCCAAAGACACCGAAATTACTACTTCAAACTGAGGGTGAACCTTTGTAAACCAATGAAAGACTACATGCTAATCCAAGGTCAACAAGAAGTCCTTAATGTGTTTTCGGAATGGAATCCACGAGAACTCATTTGCATTTGTGACAGGATATTTTCCTGGGATGTTGTTTGCATCTCATTCCACTGGTATTTTTCCCGACCTCATTCCAGGAGAGAACCAGGTTTTGCACTTGGCTTGGCCTAAAAATAGCGGGCACCCATACTCTGGGGTAAACCCTCTCCCGGCTTTGGTCTTCCCAAAACCTCAGCTTTTGAAAGCAGAAGCGTTGGTGAATGCTCAAGGTTGAAGCAGTTCAAGTGACTGACAAGAAGGGAGGTTAGAGAGTTCCGCAGACCTGGGCTTCCTCTAGCAATTTAAGTGATCGTTTAATTCCTCACAGCGCCACCCAGAGTTGGCGGGACCTCAGAATGAAAGTGGTGTCCGGATGCACTTAGACAGGCAAAGAGTGTTCTATCTGTGTGCACAGAGCCTTGGAACTGCTGGAAGCCGAGGGACCATGTGAGGTTGGGGAGTGAGCACATGTGAAGTAAAGAGCAGGGGACCCAAAAGTTGGGGACTATTTGCCTTCCTGGGGCACAGAAAGAATCCCCAGGACTGATGGAGATCACATATCCCCAGCTGTCTTGGATGAATCCTCAGAGCACGTTGAAGTTGATTTAGAATGTTAATAAAACACATATTTTACCCCATGTCTAGAAATAAGATTTGCAAGCATTATATGTTTGTAAAAAGATTATTGTGTGCAGAAGGACTGCATGGGCAGAAGGCAAAAAGGGTTTTGGAGATCAACTGATGGCTGTTTCAGGCAAGAGTTGGGAGTGCTAATGGCTGTAGTGATGAGAAGACTGAGTAAAGCTTGAACAGTTCCATACTTTGTACAGCAAGAGTGGTCTGCTCATCGTCCTTAAGTATTTAATGAAGGTCAAGTCTTTGAGTCTCTGTCCTAGTTGGGGAAAGCTCTGCTTTGTACCAAGTCAGAAAATAATTGGCATGTTTGGAGAGGTGGTTAACAGATTTACTGGGCTGATAAACATGTTTATTGAATGAATAAGTAAGTGACTTAGTTTGGGAAATGAATGGAGATTTTTGAATGAGTAGAAATAAGAAAGGCAAAATGGATCAGAGGAGAAGGGAAGGAGTATTCTAGGCCTACAATAATGGGAACACCTTGAACGGGAGAAATGAGTTGTGACGAAGAGAGTTGTGAGAAGAGGCTAGAAATGCAGGCAGTGGTTACATCATGCAGGGTCTTCAGGTAAAATCAATGAGGCTGGTATTTTGTCCTAAGATGATCAGAAAGCTATGAGAATTTTAACTTTATATAATCATATGTCCATTTTAAGAAAGTTTTCAGACTCCTGAATAGCGAATGAGTTGGATTAAGGCAACAGTAGAGTCAGACAACAAGTTAGGAGATTGTTGCATATTCCTCCTGGTTGGCAGATTGGTGGCCAGCGCTGGGATGATGGTGGTGAAGATGGAGAGATGGAGTTTGTGAAAAAGAGGGATTGGAGGCTGGCTGGTTAGGGCCTGATGACTCATTGCAGTGCAATGTGGGGTCACAAAGAGGGAGAAAACCTCTTATTGGAGGACATGAGTAGGTTTTGATAGTGTTGACTGACATGGGGAAGGCGGGGGGTCGGCCAGGTTTCACAGGGCTGATTATGAGTTCAGTTTTGCACACATCACCTTCAAACAGACTTAGGACAACCAAGTGATGTGAGGGTCACCTGGAGTCCATTCCTGGCATCATTGATTTACTTCAAGCTGTTGGAGCTTATTGGAGTCATTTAAACAGAGAGTGAAGGATGGTAGAGGGTCTTATCTTTTCGATAATGTTCATCTGTCTTGAGCAATTATGAACTTATTTCCTTGTTATTTAGAATAGTATTTCTTTTTTTATACAATGTATAAAATAATCATTGTAGCTTGTTCTAGTAATTTGCTTGCACTGTCGTGTTTTACACCATGGCTATTTCCTTGGCATCTAGTAAGTGTATACTTATTTAGAGAATGATTTGAATACAGTAGAGTCGAGCATATACGCTTTAGGAGAAAAGGGATTTAAACTTGCTTATCATTATCCCATATTTTAATACATTTCACCAAAATATTTTAAACTTCTGATTGATGAACACTTTTCTTTTGCCCGGCACCTTCCCGTACCATGGCTCCTTTGTCACCCTCATCCTCAGTATCTATATAGCTCCTTCTTATTTATTGATCGCTACAATGCAGGCTAGAACATTTTAAGTAAAGAAAACTTTATGAAAATAAACCTATATTTTCCTTTTCACACGCGTTTAGTTGAAATCATTTGCAGATCTCAACACGAACATTATTCAATATGACTCTCCCAGAGATTTAGAAAAGTGAATTCGGAGTCAAAAGGAACATCTTATGAATACTATAATACACTGTATCAGAGCTACACAGATCTGCTCCCCCCACCTCTGTAAGACCTGCACGTTTAGATTTTGTCCCTTCTTTGTTCAAGCCGAAAATTAAAAAAGAAAAATACATGTGATTATATTGTTAAAAGAAAGCAATGTGAAAAACCAGTGCATGGTAAAATAGAAGAATTTGTGTGTTCCTACACCAATATGATAGACAGTTTTCACGTCTGTGTGAGGAGGGCAGAGAGAATGTGTAACTTCTACTGTACCTGGAAAATCAGAAAGATGCAAAGTAGAGTGATCAAAGCCCATCCCCGGATTAAATAGGAGGCAGTCACACTAGCTATAGGGATTTGTGCACCTAAACAAACATCTTCATATCTTTTCTGCTTAGAGAAGTTAATGCATTTGTAAAGTTAAAATTCAACGTACGTCTTTCTTACAGGTACCACAGTACCAGCGTTACTGAACAGCACATCCAATCAACTCTACCTGCATTTCCAGTCTGATATTAGTGTGGCAGCAGCTGGTTTTCACCTGGAATACAAAAGTAAGGTCAACCATTTCTGCATCTGGCTTTCATTGTCATATTGAGTAACTTTCCTAATGTCAAAACAAATCCGTGCCCTTACTACACAGTGAAATATTACTGTTCTAAAAGTCTGTTTAAAAGTCGCATGAAATTGAATTGTATAAAACCTGCCTCTATGAAATGTATATTATAAAAGACAAAGTAACGAGAAAATGGAGAAGTTAGCATCTGGAATAATTAGATCAAACAATTGCTATGATTTCAGGTTGTTCGTGTTAAAAATGCACCCAAAGTGACCATTTGTAATGTTACCGGTTTTCTTGTGAGTGATCACACAGATTCATATTAGCGTCCCAAAACACAGACAATCGTAATTTCCAGGTAGATTATGGTCGTGAGCCCTTGCAATTTCTAGTTTCAAAGGGTGTTAGGATAGGACCAGCAAAGAGCCGCCACTTCAGTGCTTGCGTTTGTGTATTACTCATTCTAATTGGAAGAAGGTACCGCAAAGGAGATGCTAACCTTTTAAAAATGGATGTGAGACTGAGTTAATAGTCTGATAAATGGGATGACAAAGGTCAGATTCACAAATCTTCTTTGGCGTTTGATTATGCAGGTAAACCTTGTAGAAGTGAAATAAGAATTTCCAATGAGAGTGAGGTTTATTTTAGGACATGTTTTCAAGCACTAAAAATGCTTAATGTTGATATTTGTCTCCTTTAATAAGCAGTTGCAAATAAGCAAATACATGGATAAACTTTAATAAGTGATCCTTTGAATTGAGATAAGCAGTTTGCTGGGATGTAAATGCATGCATGTTTTTGAAAGGCCAGATTTCCAGCTGATGATAAATATTCTGAACCAGACACAAACCACAGGGCTGTTTCTCATTCCGGCTAAATTTCCCTACTTATTATGGCATTTGTATGCAAGTTTATTCCAATTTATTTCAATAGGACTACTGTGGAGACAGTGTACAATGATATTGTGGATGTTATTTATGTAGGAAATGTCTGGAAAAAATCTGCCACTTTGATACATTTTGCGAACATCTGTAGACAGGGAACTATAAACCTTATTTATGATAGTGTTAATAAATTCACTAATATTTTTAGCAGTGTTAGAATTGATGAATGCTCCTATCTGTTCTCTCAAAGTTATCTTGTGGCTTCGGGCTTTTCACGCACTTCTTATAGGAAGAGATCCTAGTAAAATAATTAGTCTACAGTTATTATTGTGCACAATTATCCATGTACTTCCAACCCCAACCTATAATTGTCTACATTCCACTTTATTCCCAACAAATACACTTCATTAAAAGAGAGAGACTAATATATTTCTCACTGGAATGAATCCTGATCAAGAATCTAAGGCTTTGTTTAATTACTTAATGTATTTATTTTCATTTGGCCACACATAATGCTATATTTTCATTTGCTATCATTTTATGATGCTAATACCCTTCTGATAGTTCATGTCATTCCTAACCTCCCGTGGATTTAGAGGGAGTCATTTCTCTGTTGTAATCCTTTGTGTCAGAGTTTAAAATCTGAAATGTATAAAGTGTTTGTAGAATTAATCTTTTTAAGGACAGCATCAAATGATATAAGGACAGTTGAAGTAAGTTGCCAAAAGATTGTCTGATATTTTAAATCCATTAACATATATTTGCATCTACATTAAAATACGTATTGCTAATCTTTGATTCTCTAAATCTACATTTTTCAGTAAAATTTATATTCATGAAATCATAATAAAACAACAAAAAACATGCACTCTATGCCAGGTCCTACCCCAAACATGCTATAGCTGTTTATTCATTTGTCCTCTGTACAACTTATTTTTGAGGTATGCTCAGTTTTTAAACGAGAAGGAATAGAACGTAGAGTGTTTCCAGCCTGCCCCGGTCACAATCACACTGCTGATAACTGATGGGGTGCAGACAGACACGTGCGTTTCATCTCGAATGCTATTCACTGAGCACCTGTGTGGCGGCCCACTTTTGCATCAGAAAGGCAGTGGACAGACTGCCTTGTTTCACAAACCAGGGCACCAAGGAGCACTAGTAGTTGAATATGTGGAAGATGAAGGAGCTTGTGATTCAGTGCTGGAGATCCAGTTTCTGTGGCCATAAGACCTGAGCTCTTATGACTGGTCCACACCTGCTTCCATTAGAGAAGTTTCAGTTTTCTCCTATGGAAATGAAGCCTAGACCATGTTAATTATAACTGTCTATTACTGCAGATGAACACCGATAGGATTTCTCAAACCAAAAGCAAGCACTTTTATTTGAGGAGGTGGGTTATAAAACATTAACGCTAGCAAAAGTGGTTCCAAGGAGGTTCGATGTGAAATGTCTGATCTGAATTCTCTCACATCGTCCAGGCAAACGCTCAAAGCATCAGCATCTTTGAGTGCTCAATGTGTTCTTGCAGCCAGATGTCGTTCTTTTATATTATTTAATTTGATTGGAAATTTGACAAGAGTTATAGAGCAGAATGAACACAAATGTCACTCTTGCTCTGGGCTCTTTTCTTCAGGAAAATTTCCAAACCAAAACAAAGCAAGTGAATAAACAAATATCTGCGAACTTTGGATTAAAGATATGTAGACAATGATGATATAGTTTATCCTGGAAATTAGAAAATCTGGCCTGAAGCTGTGTAACATGGAACCTGCTGCTAGGGAACAAAATGGCAGTAACTATTCTTGAACTCAACATAAAAAAAGCAGAGAATGTTTGCATATGTATTATAGTATAGTATATATCATAATACAGTATTATATATAAAATATTATGAAACATTATAATATATAATATATATTATGTACTACATATGAATTTATATTTATTTATTGAAATATAACATGATGTGTAATACAATATATATCATATTATATATATCAATAAACAAGATTTTATTGATTTCAGTGAGATTTGGTAGGAGAGAGACTAATAAGATTGAACACATGGCCCCTGTTGGAGTATTTCTATTTGTATTTTGTTGATTTCTTCCCTCTTTTCCTGCCAGCCTCTAGTTTCCTATAGTCTTTTTATTGCTCCAATTTATCTCCACTATGGCTTATTAGACAAAACTCTTAAAAATTTTAATGGTCTCCTTAGAGTTTAAAATATGCCTCTTTTTTTTCTTTCTTTCTTTCTTCCTTTCTTTTTTTTTGAGGAAGATTAGCCCTGAGCTAACATCTGCTGCCAATCCTCCTCTTTTTTGCTGAGGAAGAGTGGCCCTGAGCTAACATCTGTGCCCATCCTCCTCTACTTTATACGTGGGACACCTGCCACAGCATGGCTTGGCAAGTGGTGCCATGTTTGCATCGGAACCAGTGAACCCTGGGCCGCTGAAGTGGAATGTGTGCACTTAACTGCTGTGCCACCAGGCTGGTCCCTAAAATATACACCTTTAATGTGCCACAGCTTAGCTTCAAATGATACCATGACACTTTGAGTAGTATAAGAACTCTACAAGCACATACTTTTAATTTCTTCTTTCCATGCTTCATGCTATCATTGTCTTACATTTTATTTTTACCTATATTATAAAGTCCACAAAACTTATTTACTGTTTTTGCTTTAGATAGTCAGTGATCTTTTAGAGTGAATGAAAATAAGGAAAAGAAATATTTTATATTTACTTTCCTTTTTATCTTTGGAGCTCTTTATTTTAGGGGATAGATCCAAGTTTCTGTCTAAATTTTTTCTGTATGAGGAACTTCCTTTACCTTTGCTTGTAGGGCAGGACTGCTGACAATAAATTCTCCCAGCTTTTGTTTTTCTGAAAAAGTTGTCTTTTCATCTTCATTTTTGAAAGATATTTTGCTGGGTATAGAAGTCTAGGTTGAAAGTTGCTTTGTTTTAATATGTTAAAGATGTCACCCTATTGTCTTCTCACCCCTTAGTTTATGATGAGAAGTCAGCTATATTTCTCCTGTCTGTATGCATTTGTCCCCTTCCTCTGACTTCCTTTAAGATTTTTTTCTTTATCTTTCATTTTCATCACGTAGACTGTGGTGTGTCTAGGGGTGTGTGTGTGTCTGTCTGTGTGCACTTGATATTCATCCTGCTTTGATTAGTCTAACATTCTGGGATCTTATAGTTCGATGTCTTTTATTATTTAGGAAAAAATTCTTGGCCATTATCATCAAAGATATGTCCTTTGCCCCATCTCTTTTTCTGCTTCTTCCAGGACTCCAATTACATGTCCATTAGACCATTTGATATTGTTTCACAGTTCTTGTGTGCTCGGTCCTGTTTTATTCACTCTTTTCTCTCTGTGTCCCAGTTTGTGTGCTTGCTATTAACCTTTCTTCAGATTCGCTAAGTCTCTCCTTAGCCGTGTCAAGTCTGCCGATGACCCACTGAAAGAATTCTTCATCTCTATTATTGTAGGGTTTTCCCCCTAAAATTTCCATTTGACTCTTTCTCATAATTATTTTCTCTCTGCAATAATTACTCCATCTCTTCAAGCATAATATCTTTTCCGCTAGATCCTTTAACATATTTTTACGTTAACATATTTTTATGATTCTTTAACATATTTAGTTAGTTTAATATCCATGTCTAATATTTCCATAATATGAATATGCTCCAATTTGGGTTCTGTACTTGCTTTATCTTTGGGCAAGGGGTTGTTTGTCTTGCTTTCTCTGTGTGTCTCATAGTTTTTTCTTGCAGCTGGACACCATGTATGGAACTGTGGAGATTGCGTTAATGATATTTATGCCTGGGAGTGGGCGCACTGCTTCTGTTAGGCTAGAGTCCATGCAGTCAGGAGTTGAGCTGAGTTTGAGTGCTGTTGTTGCTGTGGTTACGCTCCGTGGATCACAAGCCATTTCCTCTCACGCTGAGCTGCTGGGAGCTTTTACTCAGTGTTAGTGTCCACCTTCAGCTTTCAGTCATCCCTAAACACCTTTTCAAAAGAGACCGTCTCCCTCCCATCCCCTGGCCCTCCCCCATAGTAGACTGCTGTTGCTTGTTACTCTGTGCTAAGCCCCTCTGGGAT